ATACTGTTCTGGAGAAGTTTAAAGCTGGATTTAGGTAAAAAAAAAAACAACAACAAAGAAACAAAGATTTCCCAAGCTCTCAACATATCAAGGAACACTGAGCAAGTGATTATATTGAAATGAAAAGAGTATCAGACAACTGCAAACAGAGATGATCAGAGATGCAGCCAAGAGGCCCATGATCATTCTAGATGAACTGCAGAGATCTACAGCTGAGGTGGGACATGGTGGTGGCAGCATCATGGTTTGGGTCTGCTTTTCTTCAGCAGGGGCAGGAAACATGGTTAAAAAAAAAAAAAAAAAAAATATATATATATATATATATATATATATATATATTGGGGGGGACACATGTCGGAAATCTGAGATTCGTATTCAACAGAAACATATCTTAAGTATGCTACTTAAAAAAAAGGCTATTTAATCTTTTACTTTATTCCTTTATAAATGTGTCTTGCAAAAATAATGCATTTAAAATTTACATAATGCATTTGTTAATAAGATGTGAGCATATCACCAAACAAAATGACTGGAGTCTTTTATTAAGCAAAGGGAGATGTCTTTCAAGGGCTTCAACCCTTAGCATATTTAGTGTCTGCATCACACTAGAAAATCAAATATTTCAGTTTGATTAAAAACAATTCACTAAGCCACACATGTGCAAAGTTTGATATGTTTTATTTTGTCAAACTTGCAATAATGGTCAAAAAATGAATTTATATAGGTTGACTGACAGAGGGAGCTGACAGTGTGTTGAAGAATTATGGACAGGGCGCTTTGAAGCATCTGGTTCAAAAATGCATTCTAAACCTTTGGTAGAAATCCATCCATCCTTCCATTTTCTGTACACCCTGTCCCTTAGTGGGGTCGGGAGGTGCTGGTGCGGGGTCCACCCTAGACAGGTGGCCAGTCTGTCCAGACCTTTGGGAGAAATGGCGCCTTTAATTCCAGTTTGCAGTACAGAACAGAGAAAACTACAGAGTTGTCAATGTTGTGTTAATCTGTTTATCGTCTAAAAAGAGGAGCCAGCAGTTTATTTGAGGAAATAAAGGTGCAGAAGTTAATTAGTTGGTTAATTAGTGGTTGTGCAGTGGACTGCTGCACAACCAATGCGACCGCTGCTGCTAAGAATTAAAATTAATTCTCCCTGTGGTTTTAACTAACGATCAGGAGCGCGGCAGGTATAACATCTGTCAATTTCGGCGAATCAAAACCACGCAAAAAATAAAAAAATCCTCGTTAAACGCACGCCCAGATCGGGCTAATTTCAACACAAGTTGTGTTAGGTGACTGTAACTCACACTGACGTTTCTCTTTTTAAAAAAATCTGAGTCAGTCCTACTGCTGTTTCAGCCTTTTAGTTGGTGGTGGCATTGTACTGAAATGAGATATATATAAAAAAAAAAACATTTTGGCTAGCGTAGCAAACGTCTAGAGAAAGTTAGCAGTTAAATATTGGATGAGTGATCATCCCAAGACTACGGAAGAGGATTAGGGCCACTGAAAAAAAAAAAAAAAAGTTAAGTGATTTTTAAATTTCATTTCAGTTTAATACGGGAAAAAGGTCAGAATTCTGACTTTTTTTTCTCAGAATTCTGACTTTAATCTCAGAATTTTGGATCTTAATGTAGATGGGCACCATGAAGGAAGAGATGTGGGAGCACTCAGCTTCAATGACAAAGATGTGAGTTGTTTGAGAGAGCCAGTGACACATTGGTGGAAAATGACAGAATTAGGCAACTTTTTACGTGCCCGTGGGGTCCCCTCATTAATGGAGGAGCAGAAGAGAGCTAGTCTCTAAAACAGACATGGCTATGGCTGGATGCTAACATGTTTGTTTTTAAACATACTTTTGTTATATTACATTTGTGTTGTGTTTTCCAAATAGTGTAGAAAATGAATGGTGGGTTTATAATGTTTACCTTTTATGAGCAGGACAGTAAGCAGAGAAGTGTAGCATTACCTCCAACTAGTTAAACTCATAATTATGAAGTTATTCAACAAATTCCTCAAGTAAAAAAGTGCAACTTTTATTTTTTATTTCTTTTTGTTGTTTTTTTTTACCAGATTTGTTGATTAATTTCAAAATTATGTATTCCTTCCAAATTTCCAAATCTGAAGAATTTTTTAAACCAATATCTACATTATTTAACATTTAGTTTATGTTTTAGCAGTACTTCCTGTTATATTTCTTTATACGTATATTTTACATTTTCTTGCACAGCAAGCTCAGCAGATTTGAAATTGTGTGCTTGTGTAAACACTAGTCAATCTTTACTCTAAACATATATTCTGGTTATTTTTTAGTTAGACCTACTTGTTTTTATGTATCTGTATAAGTACCCCCCGAAAAAAAATAAAAACACTGTAAATTGATTAGAAATATTAATCATCTGTCAGATTTCTGAGAAAAAAGTCAGAATTCTGAGATTAAAGTCAGAATTCTGAGAAAAAAGTCAGAAGAAAAAAGTCAGAATTCTGAGAAAAGTCAGAATTCTGACTTTTTTCCCCATGTTAAACTAAAAAAAAAATGTAAAAATCAGTTAACTTTTTTTTTCCAGTGGCCCTAATCCTCTTCCGTACAAGACTAAGATGACTCAACCAAAAAGATTCAGTTTCTATATATGAAAGTGAACTAAAAACAAAACGTTATAAATGGGCAATATTCATAGCAGCATCCCGACAGACTATTTTACCTCTTTCACAAGTTTCTGATTTCTTTGTCGCCGTTTCCCTCCCTGCTGACTGAGTGCTCAAACACTCAGCAGTTCAGAGAGGGGAGGGGGAGTACAGTGACGTAACGCTATGCTGCGCCTTCAAAATAAAAGCACGCTAGTTAAAAAAATGTCAAAATCTAATATTTTGCGGTACAATTTTTGGGGGGGACATATCCACCTGGCTTTTATATTGGGGGGGACATGTACCCCCCCTACCCCCCCGCTTCCTACGCCGCTGTATATATATATATATATATATATATATATATATATATATATATATATATATATATATATATATATATATATATTTACACATACATACATATATCTAAATATATACATATATATTTTATTTTGAAAATACTTATGTTCCCTTTAAATGTTGTCCATAAAGGAAGACTTTTATTTTTTTAAACTCCGCCCCGGAAGTTAGGTTGGACCTTGACCGATTGTTGTTGTTTTTCAGTAGCGCGCTCCACACACCTCGCGCTTGGTTGTCCTGATCGGACGCAAAAATGAGTCTTCCGATGAAATTCTGGACCCTGGTGGTAAACGTTCTTTGTATACCAATGCATGTGATCAATGCGGTCGGGCTGTATGAAGGATATAAACGCATCATGCCTATTTTCCTCAAACGCTTCTCTGTAATGTACAACAAAAAAATGCACGAAAGGAAAGCGGAGTTGTTTCGCAGCCTGTCCGAGTACATCAAGCCTGGTGGGAAGCTCACTATTCTGGAAATCGGCTGCGGCACTGGAACAAATTTTGAGTTCTACCCGCCAGGCTGCAAGGTGATCTGCACCGATCCGAACCCGCATTTCCAAAAGTATCTGGACACAAGCATGAAGCAGAACGACCACCTCACCTATGACCGATTCGTGGTGACCTCGGGTGAGGACATGGCTTCAGTAGGGGACGAGTCGGTGGACGTCGTTGTGTGCACCCTGGTGCTCTGCTCGGTCCGAGACATCCCGCAAACCCTGAGAGAGGTGCTGCGCATCCTGCGACCAGTAAGCTTTTAATGTGTGGAGAATATTTCATTAGATTAGACTGCAGCCACCTAAAGAAATGTATAACTGAAGAGAAATCATTACTTCTCAGTTTTTCCTTTCTGTCAGCTTCTGTAAAATTAGATTCCTTTCGCCCCCTTTTTTTTTTAAAGGACAGAAATAACTTTTTACAATTGCACTATACGCTTACAAATTGAGGATATGGGCTATAAATTACTAAAAACCCAAACTTATTTAACAGACATACATAGGATAAACAAACTCATTAGGATTTTCTTACATAAAAATAATACAACTATGGAATAAATATGTTAAGAGAGTAATATACATTAAAAGATATGTAAAAAATAATAAATATGATACAATAATAAACCCTGCAATTATTATAGAGAGATTACTGATTACTGTTAAATATGACATGATTTCCTTCAATTGAAAGCATCACGCTTCACAGTACAGTTATGCAACATGTCGCACAGGAACTGGCCAAATCCAGCCCACAGGAAAATGCCTTTCACTCATTTTTTATTTTTTTTTGGATGAGAAATGAATACCTCCCAGTCTGATATTAAAAACTGTAAAGAGAATCAAAAGGAATAGGGAAAGAAGAAGAAGGAAGAAGGTTTTGAAGTCATTTTTGAGTTTAGCGTCTTATTAAAATTGCATTAAGCATTTGTGGTTTTGAGTTTGACCTTATAGTTGGCTCACACATAAAATTATTATTTGTGTAATGTTTGGAAATTATTTCTGCCAAAAAGATATATAAAAAAAAAGAAATATAGATAAGTGATAAAATCGATTCACCCTAAGCTAGATGTCATGCGTACAAATAATAAACCTTTTTTTTTCTCAGGGTGGTGCTTTCTTCTTCTTGGAGCATGTGGTTGCAGATCCCTCAACATGGTCATACTTCTTCCAGCATGTCCTCCAGCCTGCATGGTACTACTTTGGGGATGGATGCGAGGTTACCCGGGCAACCTGGAAATACTTGGAGGAAGCTGGATTCTCCAAGCTCAAACTTCGACACATTGAAGCACCGCTTGTCTTTATCGTCAAACCGCACATCGTAGGCTACGCAGTGAAATAACCCACAACTAATGACTTCTGTATGTAAAATCCAAAAAAAAAAAAAATTTAAAACAGGTTATAACAACAACCACCATCTGAATATTGTTACTTTGCCTGTTGCTTGTGAGGCCTTAATAAGAGGGGAAAGGAGGAAGCACCTTAAAGTTTGAAATAATTGCTTTTTCTTAAACTAAGACTATTGGCACTTACAATACTAATTTGTATGGTAGTACAATACTAATTTGTATGGTAGTATTAAAGCAAATATTATTGATTTCATATAATCAAATAACCATGCATTAGTAGAAGTAGCTGTACAAGCAGTTTATCTCTTAAGACACTTTTCAATGTTGATACAACATAGTTGTATTTTAAATGCTTAAGAATAAAATATTCATATTTTTGCAAAATGTAAAATGTTTCCTTCTTCTATTGGACTCAGCTTGGGTCACACCTTGGAACTCCTATTTGAAAAAGGACAAAATAAGGAGTTTAATGGCAGTGTGGTCATTTGTCGCCATCTAGTGGTCAGACAAACAAATGGCCAGTATTAGCGGTGTAATCTTTTTATCTTCTGAGGGCTTTTCAGCTGAGGCTACTTCAAGGGTTTTTCTCAGGAAGATGCGGACTTGTTTGATGAGATCTTGTAGACTAGTTTGTTTAGCATTGGTCGCCCCTTTTTATTTGCTGCAGTTCATTGGACTGCGCAGTTTATACAAACGCGTATTCCCCTTCCTCGCAAACACGATAACAATTACTTACAATGACAAAATGCACAATTTCAAGAGGGAACTCTTTCGAAACCTCGCGAGGTTCGCGAACGCAGACGGTTCGCTTCGGTTGCTGGAGATCGGCTGTGGCAGCGGAGCAAACTTTAGGTATTACCCGTACGGCTGCGCGGTGATCTGCACTGAACCCAACCCGCACATGGAGCCGTACCTGCGTTTGAGCATGGACGCAAATCAGCACCTGACTTATGAGGAGGTTTTAGTTCTTCCAGGTGAGGACCTGAGGGACGTTCGGGACGAATCGGTGGACGTTGTGGTCTGCACGCTGGTGCTGTGCTCTGTGAACGATGTGGGAAGAGTCCTGCAGGAGGCCCGACGCGTTCTCAGACGTGTGAGTTGGATTGTGCTGCCTTCACGTGTAGTAGGACATACAACAACCTGACACGCACAGGGTATGGAATCATCTTTAGCAAACCAATTGCATTCAGAAGTCACCTGATGAATAATCCAACTATATTTAATTGAATCTCTGCCTACATCCAACTGTCCCATGAAGTGGGTATTCAATTTAGTTCAGTTTATTTATATAGCGCCAATTCACAACACATGTCATCTCAAGGCACTTTACAGTTCAACCAGATCATACAGTCAAATCGATTTGAAGTTTTCCCAATTGATTGCATTGACTCATTGACTCAAATGCAATCCCTCACACTAAGCATGCTTGTAGTGACAGTGGAGAGGAAAAACTCCCTTTCAACAGGAAGAAACCTCCAGCAGAACCAGGCTCAGTGTGCGGCCATCTGCCGAGGCTGACTGGGGTTCAAGGAGACAGAAGCAGAGATGGTGCACAGGTGGTTGTTCCAGAGCAACAGTAAACAAAAGAAACCCAAGAAAAGAAAACAGTCAGCTCACAAATAAAGTGATGTTTAAAGCAGGTCTAACTTATGAAAATATCCTTTTTTTAAATCTCATCTGAAAATGGAAAGAGTATGATACAATTTCAAACCTGCCAAGACATTTAACAGTTAGTAGGATTAATCAGAAAGGCAGAGAAGAGCCAATGTATCTGTACTTTCAGTTACCGGTATGTACCTTGTACATTTGACCTTTATGGAGGAATGGCACATGGGTGTAGGTTTGCATAGGGACCATAGGGACATGTCCCTACCAAAACTTGGGACCGACCTACTTGTCCCTACCAACAATTTGATGTGAATAACATGTTTATAATTTACAATGCGGCATTGTTGCAGCAGTAGTTCTGGATGGAGAATGAGAGACGAAAACATTTTTTATCTAAAATGCAATCTAATCTAAGTGGGTCACTTTGTCGGCTAAAAGCATGTTTTAGAGTCTCTTTACTCGAGTTAACGATTAATCGATTACTAAATTGGTTGACATTAATTCAATAATCTATTAATCACGATTAATCCGATGAATTGTTTCAGCCCTAGATAAAATAAATCAAATGGGTTAAACAAAGCAACTACAGCCCAGATGTACAACTTCTATAGTGAAGTTAATATGTTAAATGCTAAGTGTCAGTTCCTCTTCTAGCTCTTCTAGTTACACATTTAAATACAAGACATTTATTTGGTTTCTTTTTATTTTGGTTTCTTTCATGATACAGAGAGAGCATATAAAAGATTAAGAGTGTTTTTTTTACCTCTGTTTACCTCTGCACAATTCTTTATCTTCAAAAGAAAATACAGGATAACAGACATATTTAGACTATACTTGGTTAAATAGGCAGGTAAGACCTTCTGTCTTAGTTACTGGTAAGTTCAAATGCAACCCTTTTCAAAGTGGAAAAAAGTCCTAAAATTTGAATAAATATAGCAAGAAATGCTGCTTTTCTCTTTAAATGAAATACACCCTGATTTTCACGCCAAGCTTAAAAAAACGAGCATGCATATTTTTGCATAGGACCAATGAGATAAGACCAATAGAGTCCCTACCAAAGTTGAAATCAAACCTACGTAGTTGGAATGGCATTAAGAGTTTTTATTTGAAGAAAACAGAAATATTTCCTGTTTGTTAATTTGCTGTAAGCCATATATGAGGCTTAGGAAACATGCGGAAGAAGCTGCTCTGTAAAATGATACTAAATTGACTTTTTGGGCTTCATTCAAAATGCCATGTGGGCAGATAGGATAGAACACTTCTAGAAAAATAGGGACAGTAAAACTGGTCTTACTTTGAATGAAGATGGATGGAGCTAAACACAAGGTAATCCTGGAACAGAACTTGCCCTGTGTTGCAAAAGCCTTCTGCTAAAACTGTAGCTGCAGCCGAAGGGGAACATGGGGAATCTTCCCTCCATTTATGTGCTACAGTATTTACATAAAATACGGATAAAACATATTTAGGATTGTGGCTGTATTATGGTAATGTGACAAAGGTCAAGGGTCAGGGATACCTTTGAAAGGTTGCCACATTGCCAAGTTAAATAGAACGCACCATTACAGTTGGTGTACTCAGCTGTGGGTGTATGGTGTGTAATTTGCAAGTCATCATGACATTTCCTAACTTTTAACTGAGGTTGCATCCCATTATTTTAGATCATTTTGCACATTAATGTACTTTTATCTAAGTTTTTATGATCAGACACTCTGCTAAAGAATAAGAGGATATAACTCTACAGGACTCTAATGTGCAAGTTATTCATTTTGTCAATTCAGATTTCTACACAATATGGCTTAATAAGGTGAATTTCAAGTTTTGAATGACTTAAAATACCCATGTGTGAAAGAAAGGTAGGTTTGGCAGAAATGTAAATCTATGAATAGTGTTGGATTAAGCAGGACTGTACATAACCAGTCAGAGCTTGAGGGCTACCTAGTCTGTTCTGGAATGAACGTACACCTGTGGAACAGAACCTGCTGTTGGTTTTCTTTCAGGGAGGAGCTTTGTATTTTCTGGAGCATGTGGTCTCTGATCCCTCCACGTGGACATACTTCTGTCAGTATGTGTTTGAGCCTCTGTGGTACCTCCTGGGGGATGGCTGCACAGTTACCAGGGCAACGTGGAGAAACCTGGAGGCGGCTGGCTTTGCTGAACTTCACCTAAGACATATAGAGGCTCAAGAAGTTTCTTTAATGATTAGGCCACATATTATGGGATATTCAATTAAATGAAACATATGAACCCTTTTCTTGGTTCTATACTTAATATATTAATTTCTTCATATTTAGTTTACTGCTTTCTAACTTTTCTAGTAAAGTTTTTTTTTTTTTTTTTTTATCAGTAAGACTGTTATGGCACAGATCTATTTCTAAAGCTTTTCTTACTTGATAAACATCAGACAAACACGCTTTCTACTGAGTGAAAATATATTTATTTACTCACCGAATCAGCAACATTTCATATGCTCTTTGTTTTTCACTCCCCATCCCCCCCAAAGATGTACAAATAAATATTAACTGGACTTTGTGCTTTTTTTCCCTGATTGTCAAAGTAACTGCCAAGTAACAACCAAACCAAACTTGATATTTCTGATACCCTTTATAGTCCATTGCACAAATATAAGGAATGATAGGTGTAACATCTTTTTAAAAAGGGAAAAGAGGGGCATTGCTGGTTCACAATTAAAAGAAATCACATATTGTAATAATACAGTCAAAATTTTGCAGATGCTGGTAAATTAGCTCCAGTAGCAATACGTTTTAAAACACAAGGAAATAGGAAAAATTATACATTTGAAGACTCAAACTTTAAAGCTCACAATTTCAAACCTCCAAGTATTAAAAATGTACACAACTATAAATGTTACAGAGTTAGCATAAAAAAAAAAAAAAAAAGCAGTTGAAAAATGGCCAAATTGTCCAGTAAATCTCACTGCCAAAAGTCACTTTTAATCAAAGTAGAAAAAAAAAAAAAAGACTGGAGGAATTCAGCCTGAAATGAAGTGTTCCCAGAAACCCAGACTTGTCCAAATGCATGAGAGCTGTGCTGCTTTCACCTCACAGTCTCGACATGTACTAACAGGTTATCCTGTTTTCACGCAGTAAAGATCCTTTAATGTTTTCAGTTCTTCAATCAATGTCTTGTTTTGGTTCTCCAGAACAGCGACACGGTTTTCCAGACATTTCACATATTCCTTTTTCTTCCGTCGACATTCACGGGCCGCTTCTCTGAAATCAGGAAAAAACATTCAGGATGTCAAAATGTTAAATAATGAAAAATGTGTTAAAGTTCTCATAGCATCAAGATGGTGCAAAAGAGCTCAGCTAACATTTTATTTACAAAGAAAACTAAATGAGTATGGGTTATATAATGTACAATAGGTTAACATTTGAACAAGTTCACTAAGTTTTTTATATTTAAATTATTTGCAAAAATAAAAACTAAAACAATCACAAGTCGTTATTAGATGTTTGAAAATTTGAAAGAAAAAAAATTGAAAACAGTAAACATCATTAATCAGGTAAAGAGGATACTTTCCAGATGCTCTATATTTATTATATCAGTGCATACAATTCACAATTTAGATATAATTACTGCTCTAAGTGGGTCAGTCTGTCAGCCAAAGGCATGTTTTAGAGTCTCTACACCGTAGTTAACGATTAATAAATTAGTTGATGATTATTTAAATAATAAAGCATAGAGCTTGGAATCCTAAGGTCATGAGTCTGAGCCTTCCATGCGTTTTGGAAGCCATCAGGCTCCATAATACTATGACACCAAACTGAGAGAAATTATTCCTGATTTCACACAGTTTTACTTTGTTGTTGTAACTTTGTGCTAATATATTGACTGAATTTCATATATAGGGAATATGTAAAAGTCTGGTAATACAAATGTTTCCACACTTGGATAGGGATAAAAGCAAATGCTTTGGGGGAGTGATGGCCAAGTGGTTAGAGCAGTGTGCTTGTGCTCTGAGAAGGTTGCAAGTACTCGGTTTGATCCCCACAGCCTGCACTCTGGGTTCCTGAGCAAGACACTTAACCCACACTGCCCCCTGCTGGCGCACAGTGGCAGCCCACTGCTCCCCAAGGGGATGGGTTAAATGCATAGTGAATTTATCCAGTTTGAGATCAATAAAGTTAAATTATTATTCACTTTGACTGTTTATGATAACTAGTGTGTAAACTATTATTGATCTACTAAACAAAAACCAAAGGCACTTTTTCGAGATGTATCTTGCAAGAACAATAAGTAGACAAAGTCCACAGGTCAGAGTACTGCACCAGGTTGGGTACCAGTAAAAAACATACATCTAAAGGTAGAAAAAAAATAATGTTTTACTTCACGGGTGTAGGCATGGATATAAATGAACAAATGCAGGAACCATAGAGTTACAGCATGAATTAAACTAATTTAGATTTTCTTATTAATTAACTCTATATTTAAAAAAATAAATTGATTCAAGAATATCCAGATAATAATATTCTAACAAGGGCCAAACAAAGTCCTGTAGAACTGAGTTTTTATTCTGAAAACACAAGCTGATATTTTCAGAGGCTGCAATGCCTTCCTCTCTCAGGTCCATACAACACATTCCTTAAGCTAAGCTTGCTGCCTCAAACTCCCAGAATCCCCCATTCCTGGTCTGGCTGCACTGCCTGTCTCCCGCCCACGTGATGGACACCGACAGACGAGTGGAAGTCAGCAGAGGCATACAGAAACAGGCTATCCAAACTAATATGGGCAACAATAAGAACATTACATTACGGGTTGGTGTGGATTTTTAAATGGGGATAATTGCAGGTAACGGGTCGGGTCTCAGTTCAGGTGCAGTTTTGAAAAATCAGACCAGTACAGGACTCTCTCACAGGACACAGCAGCACATTAAAGATACAGGGGCCGAGGGCTAACCCTTAACTCTGTATTTACCTGTTTTTTGCAAGCCGGATTTCCCTCTTTAGTGTGGGATCATCAGTTTTAGTTTGAGACAGTCCAACTGGAGAGGTCATCACAACGGTCTGGGGAAGGGAGGCAGATGAGGTCGTTGTGCGAATCTGGTAGGTTTGCATCTCTCCTCCAACTCCTAAATGCAACAAATGACAAAACAAAAAAAAACTGAATGTGAATCATATGAATCCTGTCACACAATTTTTGGTTCTTGACTAGAAGTTACTTCTTGTATTATGACTTCCCATTCTCTCAGAGCCAAAGAAAAAACTTTATTTTGGATGGAAAGAAAAAGGCCCTTGACGTCTGATAAAGGTATAGATTTCACTGCAAAGGAGACAACATCTATAACCAAAATGGAAAGGACTGCCAAAAACACCATTAAAAACATCTATTTTTGTCACCATTCCTTCAGTTCACATAACCATGGCCATTTCAAATGTGTTACATTTTTTGTCTCATTTTGATTACAAAAGAATACTACCAAACAAGGCTGGCACATGAAATGTAAGCGGATGTACTAAATTCTCACCTTGTACTACTACTTGGTTGCTAGGCACGAGTATCTGCTGACCATCAGGTGTCTGCGCATACTGAAGGATGGTAGCTCCTTGTTGTGCTCCACCAGAGTTGGCCATGGTAACAGCCTGCAGCCCTTGGAGGCCTTCAGAACCTGGAGATGCCAGCTGGATTGTCCCATTTGCAGCTATGGTAACTTATAAGGAATGATAAAAAAACAAAACTTGTTATAAAAGGAAATACAATCATTCTTGCTTGCAAAGTAAAAATATGATCGGAAAGGGTATTCTGAAAGTGATTATAGATTAAATTTATTACCAAATATTACTCTGTTTGAGAACACTCAACCAGTATAGTCAAAGAAATTATTGAAATACTTCATAAAAATTTAAAAATCACAGCATCCCACACTGGTGTTAGTATTTTCATATTCAGTTTAAGCTGAAGAAGCGTTCTTACTGTACTGTCCTGAGCTGGTCTGGTAGATTGGAGTGCTTGGAACTGTAACACCTGTCACTCCTGTGGATGCTGGACTGCTATCCTTTCCTTCAATGTGTGTCGTTTCCTGAGATGAAAGGTCGTTAAGGATTTTTCTGCAGGAAAGAAGCAGCCAAGTTATTCCACAAGTTACACAAAAGCTTTTCTTTCTGGGATGTCATTTGATGAACTTTTTACCTGTATGACGGCCGCCTGGCGAGTATTTCCCTTGTCTTGTGGGTTGTTGCTCCACTGTCTGAGGAGTCTTGAGAATCTTCGCTATCAGTACCCTGGGCCTTAGCAGTAGAGGTTCAATAAGAATACAATCATCATTATCAAACCACTGTGGGAGAAATTCTGTCTTTTTATAGGCACTTGTTTGACTATAGCCTCTTTAGTTTTAGATTTATAGCCAAACAGAAACACATTTATTCATTCAATTTATATCCAATAGTAGATTTATGTTAGTATTATTGTTTTGTATCTGACTGTATTTCGCAACCATGTCAAGGATTTATATTTAAATTATGTGATAGTTTAGAAAAAGAAAAAAAAAAACATGAAAGGCAAAAAAAAGGAGCTGCTCTGCTCACCGTTACACTCTGTGCCTGAGGGGACTGAATGACTGATGACTGTGCAGACTGGATCACTCCCTGAACCTGATATTGACCCCCAGGCAGTTGCACAACAGCAACAGAAGAACCTCCCAATGACATCTAGGAACATTAAAATAAAATACAAACAAAAAAATGATTTGCCATTGAATAGTCTCAAGTTAAACATTTTAGTAAAACAATACAAATTACATTTCCTAAAAACACTTCACCTACATATAATATATATCGTATTGTTAACATTTAGGTGCTAAGATTATTATTTTTTTTTTTACTATCCTTTAAAATACATCTGAAGTAAAATAGGCAAATGTTGCTTGTATCAGTAATTAATTACTTAAATATTTGATTAAGGTTTTTTGTGTATAGAAATACATTAATAAAACATACATAATTATTGATCAAATTGTTTAACTCTTTAACTCTCATTATTAATTTATTTTCCCCATTGAGGTATTGAAGTTAGTGGGAGAAACCAAGGTTGCTCTTGACAATGTCATTAGTTTTAAACTAACTTGTCCAGATTAATCAAATGCTGGAGATTACTTAAAATTCACTGATTATTAAATCATGGCGCAGTGCAGTACATTAATAGCTAACAAAAAAAGACATTTCTAAAGACAACAATGCTTTTTATTTTGAACTCATTCATGTAAAATTTCAATTAATCTAATATTCCAATGGATTTTTAAAAACTGATTAAGATATTAACGTGTTGGTATGGTTGTCATTTATCTGATGCATCACCACAAATTAACTCAAACTCAAGGTTAGTTTTCACAAAGTATTAGTGAAACTATTAGTGGAGGTATTCAATTTAAAATAATGAAAGCAATGCAAATAAAATTATTTTTTTTTTTTTTCCTGTGAAGAGCTTTAATCAGAAAACGAATCAAATGACAAAAAATAACACACTGGATTATCAATATGTATTTGGGTGTACATAAATTAGGTAGAGTCAGAGTTTTCTGCTGTTCTAATACAAGTTAAAACATATTGAGTCTAGGACTGCAACTAATAATCATTTTGCAACCGATTCATCAGTCGATTTTTTTTCTTCTATTAATCGATTAACAATCGGATAGATTCCTTAAAGATTTTTTACTACATTAAACCATGTGAAATCAAAACATTTCCAGTTGAGGAGTTCTGGATAGAGCATATAGACAGACAAAAAGGTTGATTTTTTTATCTTGAATAAAAAAATATTATTTTTACAATTTTGATACAATTACTTCTCTAAGTGGGTTTCTCTGTCAGCTAGAGACATGTTTTAGAGTCTCTATACTCCAGTTAACGATAAATCGATTACTAAATTAGTTCACAATTATTTCAATAATCGATTGATCATGATTAATCCAATTGTTTCAGGCCTGATTGAGTCATAAACAGGGAAGACAACTTGGGTAGAATAATTTATGTCATTTTAAAATTGCTTAAAATGTCAAGCCGCGTATTAACTCCATTTAAACTGTTGTTTCCGTGCCTAATGTTTTCATATGAATGGCCTGTGTAACCAAGCAGAATGGCAGGTATTGTTTTTAATTGCATTCATCAGTTACCTGCTGTGCTATCTGTGAGAACTGAGAGGATGTGATGGTAGTAGGAATGGTTGCAGTCTGTGACTCAGTGCCATTGCTGCCCTGTTGTACGTCTTCCATAGTAACTGAGAAAAAATAAATCAATATTACTGACTCACAGTAACTCTACTGTAACAGCTGCTGTACGCGCCGTTATTTGTCTTTACTTTAGTGAATTCACCAAGCTAAGCACCCGCTAAAAAAGTGAATCGATGAGAAACAAAATAGTTTTTTTTTCCCATTTTTTTTTTTTTTAGAGGAATCAAAATAGATGTATATGAAAATAAGTGTAACAAGACATGACTTCCTCTTGGAGGAATTTAGCAATGCAAGTTACGTTATGAACGAGTTACGAAACACAGCAGGATTCTGGAGTCAATACGATTGACTTTTTAAACCTCATTGATTTGATGAGAAATCTCGTAAAAAGTGTAACTTTAATACAAAAATTTAACTCCGCAGCTGAAAATATGAAGCCGCTACTTCCAGAATGTTCGAGCTTACTAATGTTGCAGCTGGTAGTTAACAGTAGCTAACCAGTTAAGCGGATGTAATTCACTTTAAAACGTTAAAAGCAACCATTTCCGAATTATGTGCTTGACAAGTTTCGTTTGGCTTGTATAAGGGATGGATGGAATATTTTATCCCATTGAGCAAATATATGTAACTCTGTCACTGGCACGCAACTTATCGCGTCAAAAGACGTCAGCGATACGAGGAGCCATTAAGCTAACTACACCTTCCCTTTTCGTAGGTTGGCGAGCCGTTGACGAAGCACACAAGCCGCCATTACGGTCAGAGCGGGGCGGACAGAGAGACGAGCACAAAAAGTACCGCTCAGTCAGCCAGATAATTTACCTTCTGAAATGATGTGTGACTGCTCTTGTTCACAGCGTGAAGCTCGGGTAATTCGTGTACAGACTTTTATTTCGAAGAGGACCTGGAAAGTTACTTAGCCGTAATGGCTAATAGCTAAAAACAAGAAGATGTCAGCTTTAAAATATAGCTCTCTACTTTTCTCTCCCGCCCCCGCCCCCGCCCCCCGGCCAAAGGAAGAGGGCGGGGTTTCTGAGCAGGGGAGACGTTGCGTAATTAAGTCTTTGGGCATTTTGATTGGAGGAAAAAGTTAAAACGTTTCGTGTCAGAAGGTTTGCAGAAATAATGGAAATAGTGCAATGTTTTATATTATATATGGTGTATTTTATTCATATGTCTTGCACATTGTAATTCTTTACTTGTAGTTATAAAAAATGTTAAGGGTGAAAATTTGTAATTAAAGTATGAAGAAATTATCTTTCACTTGTCAGTCATTATCATTGCACATATTTCAGTCAAATCTAGAATAATCTGTGCAATCAGAGATTCCCATAGTCATAAGCATACCAATAACTGGTTGTGACCCATTCTATAAATATAGGAACAAAACACATGTCAATGGTATTAGTATGTACTTTTACAGTATCTCTTTAATCATGCTGAATTTATTTGGCCTATAAAAACATTTGTCTATGGGCCAGATTAGCACACATAGGAGTAAGGACAAGTGCAAAATTTTCCAACACAAACTTATCTTTGGAGAACAGTCTGATAGTGATGAAAGTGCACTGGTTTGAGAAAAGGAAATACTTCTAGATATCCTGGGACACAGATAACCTGATTTACTCCCTTATCTTTCTTAAAATCAGATGCAAGTTTTAACCAAATCTTTGGGTAGCCCTGAGGATGGTCGGCTGACTCCCTGTGATGTGCATTTGCAGAGTGGACTGACGCGATTAGTATTAACAAAATAAGCCATCAGATGTCTTGCAGTCATTTGCAAACCAAAGCTGCGAAGCACAGATTTTAAGAATATTGAAGGAAAGCAGTGCAACATCAAAAAGTCATACCTGTGGTTAAAGGGAGTGTATGCTTTCAAAGAGAGCTTATGCACACGGTTATAAATATTTACATAGTTTGAAGAGCTAATTATTCTTCTATTAATTTGATTGTGTACCCGGTCAAGTTACTTTTTAGCTATTCCAACTATTTAAAAACACAGTTGATATTTTATTGTTTGATTTTATTATGTCTGTTTTTATACAATTGAATGTATTATTTTTATATGTTAAAGCTATTTTATTTGTTTTTTGTATTTCTTGCAACACATGTTATTTTTACACCATGCTGTTGCAGTTGAAACCAAAAAGAATAAACCACCATGACAATATTACTTCAAATGACTACTAGTTTTTTACTTTACTTTTGGTAACACCAAATCATGTATACAAATAGGGGACTGTTTACAAATCAGCACTTCCAGAGCTGCAATGAATTTATTAGTAGGTTGATTACAGCAACAAACATCATTGATACAATAGAGGGGCCCCAAAAACTTTATTTTAATTATGGCCCCTTAGAGACTTGGGCCAGCACTGTGTGCAATTAGACAGAAAGCCCGCTGTTCTACTGAATTAGGTTTGTTTAAAGAGCTCAAAAATGTAAGGCAAGGGAATAACATTTAATTCACACTATCATCCCAGAATAAAAGTTAAGACAAATGTTTTAAAGTCATCTTTAAGAGAATAATTCACGTCTGTACATATGTTTTGTCTTAAAGGAGGTAAAGACATGCTCTGAACATTCATTTAAAAAGTCCACACACAAATAACCAATTTGCTTATGTATCTTATGTCTTTTATGGTCCAATCAAAAACAAACCTAGATAACATCCAAAACCACAAAGGAATAAATAAAACAATTATTTTCTGAATCACTAAACTTGAATTCTTCTTTAGTGCATGCTCTCTTAAAACATATAATTCCATTTTAATTTGATATGTTTGTCCATTTTACATCTTCCAAGTTTGGATATGTAAATTATGATTTGTAAATGTTGTTGATAATTTCTAATTAAACCAGAACTGCATCCAAAGTTCAATCCGACCTTCAAACAGTTCTTGGCATAAATATTTAGTCTTGTTAGTCAAGTTTTGAACACTAAGTTTAAACACATATGCTTATGACTTTTTTGTTTGAATCATCAGGTAATCTTTTAAATGTTCCTAACTTTTATGAAATACCTAGATCGTATCTCTTGGAATTACACTTTAATGAATACTCTACACATATAATTTTTTTTACAGCAGAGAGAGAGAGCATGTGTAAAACATAAAAAACATGAAAAAACAAAAAACGTTCCAATATTTTGGACAAATTAACGTTTCCAACCTAGTCTATGTCTTTTGATACTATTGTGTTATAATATCTGTAAAAATATTGGTTATTTAAGCATATAGTGAACTACACATAGAGACTAATAATAAAGAAGGAATAATTTTTTTATTTAGTCTTAAAAATGTTGGTCATTTTTAATCCATGTTAAACCATTACAACAAAGAAAAATTCAGGCACATGCATGATTAAATGCTTCTGTTTATTCTGCATTACTTATACATTAAGTATAAAACAAAGTACAACAAACCAAAATGGTAGAAAGCAAAATGGTAAAACGGGGTGCACCATTTACATGTTTTAACAGACTGAGTTAAAACACATCATTAGACAGTGGAGTAAACCCTCTTGAAGCAAATATAGATTTCACAGAGTAATTAATATACAACATATTCAGAGTGCATACACAAAATATCAACAAAATTAAAGAGAGATTAATGCAATCTTAAGTACACTACTGGGTAAATTTTATTAGCTCGTCTTTCTCTTTAGAAAAATTAGAATCATGTTTATTTTTCAGTAAATGTGCAAGCTTTGAAATTAAATTGCACCATCATTAGGATTGCATAGTGTAAGAATTCTGAAGTTGGAAAGATAAAACAAAAGAGTAAGAACCAGAAGAAGCCCTTCAAGACTTCCCAGCAAAGCAGGTAGATGGATTCTGGTTTTCATTTCAGGTTTCTGACAAGTTTCCAAGAGACTCTTTTTTTGTGTCAAATATCCACTTTATGGATCCTGCTCTCATACTTCCAGCTCCAGTCCTGTTTTACCAGTTTAACTCCCTGAAACTTCACTTTCATGCCTGTTAACCTCTCCTACCACATCCAAAATGAGTTGTTCTTCGAGCCAGTTCCTTCACGGCCAGTCATGCTAGCATTGTGCAGCGGCTGTGACAAAGTGTTGAAGCTAAGATGAAGCGCTGTCGCACCAATTTTGTTAGAGCGTCACTCAAAAGGGACACCGTTTGAAGCAGAATTTTCCAAACATGTCAACAGTGCAAAGTGCATTAGGAAAATGTTCATTTATGATTATCTTTTACAAATTTTTCTAAAATTAGGCTTTACTAGTTTGAATGGTAAAATGGGCAGCAGCCAATTCAGACAATATAGAATGAATAATGAAAACAAGTGTAGGTCTACACAAAAATCTCATCACCGAAACACTGTGCAAGCTATTTGAAAGAGTCTTGAAATGATAACGCACAAGCATATCATTGCCAGTCAGATGTTTACATACACTTATCTTTGGTTTTAACTGCCAAAATAACTTGATCTCAACAATTTTCAGGGCTGAAAGATCATAGCAAACACAAATCTATTTGCACATGTTCGCAGTTTGATCCATTTACGCTTATCTTTATTGGATCTAAGTGTTACAGACAAGCCTAATTATATTAATTTAACCGTTGAAATATTTTGTTCAATCTTAGAAAGTTGAAGCGCAGCTGGTTTTTTTGATGTTTTTTTTTTGTAGCCATCAACAGGGTTCTGATATAACTCTGGCTTGATATCTTGCTATTCTTCTTGAGAGAATTCACAAAGATAATTATTTTTGTTTAGGTTCCTAAAACAGCGCTTACTTTAGAACATAGTCATACATTTCAAAGCTAATTGAGGTTAGGACAGTATAGTTTTGTTTTTACATACTGCAAGATCTCAACTCTCTTACTTAGTGTGCTTTTCCCTTGCTGCAAGAACACAGTGAATTTAAATCTCTACCTGCATTGATTGTGTATGTGCTCCCAATGGATGTGCTAGCTCTCGCTGGGTACTCCGGCTTCCTCCCACAGTTCAAAAACACAATTAGGTTAACTGCTCTCTCTAACCTGCCCTGAGGTACAACCGCATGGGTTATGTAGATTGTTCTCAATATCTGTGTTACCCTATAATGGATTGGTGGCCTAGTCAGGATGCACTTATCCTCCTACTCATTCCCAGATGGAGACTCCCACCCCATCATGACATATATAGATAAGTAAGTATAGATGAAAGGAAGCTCAACCAAATCTGTTTGTTTACAAAAGCTAGTCAAAGAATCTCTATCCTCCCAAATATCTTCCTCATCGAGGCCAATTCTTTATTCAATCCAGGGCTTAACCACTTTGGAATAGTTTTTCTCATTTAACAACCCTATGTTTAAGAGTAGAACATTTTAAATGTCTTTTAATAATTAATTCAATGAAGGGTTGGACATGACACCACATCATGACATGCACGCTGCTATTGGGTGTTTATGTGTGGTTTAAAAAAATTTGTCATTTTTTTGTTGTCTGTTGATTATTGTTTTATTACTATTGGATTTGAAATGATTATTTAAAATTTTCACACGTTCTCGTTTTTGGTGGAACCTTAAGATAAGCCACACAGGCTTTTAGCCACTTCCTGCTCTGTATTTCTCTTTTAACTGTGTACTCAATGTATTCTTTTGAGCAAAATAAATGTATAATTGCCTTAGGCTAGAAACACGTACATCTGAACACTAGTTCTGGTAAGAAAAAACTAACAAGTGTTCAAATGTGGTCCAACGGGATTCCAGAAACGCATTGAAAACAGATTTAGGAATGATAAAGCAGATCACTATAAAGCTTCCTCAACCCCAATAATAAAGTCCTTAAAATATGATGGATACCAGCAGCATTTGTCAAAGGCAAAAGTTTTTAATGGTACTGGTGTTGTATGAATATATATCTTAAGTAGGGCTGCAACCAATGATTATTTTTCAAATCGATTCACCTGTTGATTATTTTTTCGAATAATTGATTAATAATCGGATGGCAAAAGGTTCCAAAAAGAACATTTTATGCAAAATTAAACCAAGTGAAACTAAAGCTTTTCCACTTGAGCAGCTCTGGATAGAGCATATTTACAGATGGAATTTTTATTTATTTTTTATTAAATGCATTTTTATTTAAATATATATTTTTTTTTTGCAATTTTGGTATAATTACTGCTCTAAGTGGGTCGCTCTGTCAGATAAAGGCCTGTTTTACAGTCTCTATACTCTGGGTGGGGGTTTGGGTGGCCTAGTGGTTAGAGAAGGCTGCAAGTACCTGGTTTGATCCCCACACCCTGCACTCTGGGTCCCTGAGCAAGACACTTAACCCCCGATTGCTCCCCAGGTGCTGCACAGTGGCAGCCCACTGCTCCCCAAGGGGATGGGTTAAGATGCAGAAGTGAATTTCTCCATTGTGAGATCAATAAAGTTCAATTATTATTAATCCTCCAGTTAATGATTAATTGATTACTAAATAAGTTGACGATTATTTTAATTATTAGATAAAGCTTTTCTTTTTTTTTATCTAAACTTTTATGTTTTATATCTCTTAACTGTCACCCCCAAAAATCCTCAAACACCTAAATAAAATATACTAAAGCTTGTTGTCTCCATTATTAAAGGTGGAAGTATGATTAGAAGACAGAAATACTTCTTCCTCATGACAGTTGAGCTGTTTACTCTATGTAGATCAGAGGGAATCCATTCTTCTGCACAGAATTCTTAATTTTTTTTTTTATTAGCGATATTTATTGTATAATTATTTAACAATTTATTCCAATAAATGACCAAACAACCCAAATGAATGAGGTTCACGCCATTCGTTGATGAGTGCATGTAAACTTCTGAATAGAAATGTTAAATTTAGCCTTTTTATTTTCCTCTCACTGGCATCTTTCATGTGGCTCAGTTTTGCAACTGCATTCACAAGTGCAAAATTCCAGTGACTGAACACAGAAAAATAAAAAAATTCGACCTGTTTACTACCTTCTGCTGGCTACAGTATAAACAACAATGATTTTAGAATTCAAAGTACTTATATACAAAAAGTTGCACAAACAAACAAAACATACAGTTGGAACGTTTGAGTGCTGAGAGGCTCCATGATGTTTTACGTAACTGAGAGCATCAAGTTTGTTTGGCAGCATGGTGGCCATGGATATCAGATGAACAGAAGTGGACCAATTTTTTTTTTTAGATTTTTCACTTACAAAGTAACCCGTCAGCCTGTAAACAGTCACATTATTAGTTTTGCAAACCTCCTTGCAGACACTAACAGGGAAATACCTGCACTAACAGTGATAGCCCTCCCAGTAAACTTGGATTATTCTGCTCAGAATAACATGCTCTAAAACCATTATGCTCATAATGCCTCATTGTTATAATAAAATAGATTTTTTTTTCTTTTAAAAAGTGCAACATTTTGTCCATTCTCAGACACAATGATTTAAAGTGATTCACCCTTTCAGTCCTTATATAGCTAACATCCCCCAACAAAAGTACTTTTTGTTAGATTCTATTTACAGTCTTCTTTGCTAATGTTACAGCCTCCCAGCTTGGTTATCTATTCATAGAGGAGCAACTGAGAGAGGTGAGGAAAAACATTATTATTCATTTATACAAATAAAAATATCTAGTGACATACAGTATCCAAAATACAAAGAGACCCTCAGTTGTTACAGTAAAGAAAAGAATATGGGCTCTTTTTTATTGTATTTATCCCTTTTGGGTATTTATGGAACTTATGCTCCAGTGATTGAAGAATAATAAGAAGCCATTAATAGCAGATTCAATAAAAGTTAAGAAAGGAATGTATGGCTGAAGTTTTGTAAGGCAGGAAATATTATCAAAGCAGGAATATCTATTTGGTTTCAGTTGGGGGGTAGGGTAGGTGGGGGGTCAAATATGCACACTGGGTGAACCATGTGTCAGTTATCATGGCTTTTCCTCTTATCCATGTTGCCAGGAAGTAAAACTAAAGGGGATCAGGACATGGGTTTGTGTGTGGGTTTGCTTGGAAGCTGCATGTAGAAAAATACTTCAAGTTGTGTTGAGATCAGTGGTTCAGTGTGGACACCACACCAAGGGGGGCAGACTTTGACTAAGACAGGACACCAGTATTTGTTGCCAAAGGGACCTGTTGCCTCTTCTTCTCAATTCTCCACAAAAAAGTGCATCAAAAACTCTGCTTTCCTCTTCATTTTGCAGCATATTTTAACTGCTATGTTTGCAAAATGTGGTGTTTATATAAAGAACACAGTGTTCAACCCCAAACACAGACATGCAGTGGTAAAGATATGCTGGTGTCAAACAGGGCTGTGTGTCTGTACATGTGCTTCATGCTTTTCTGCTCCCCACACATATACATACACCCTGTCCAGACTGCTCACTGGTACGATGAAACGTCCAAGAATCAAACCAGGATGGCCACCAGCTTTTCACATGTTGTACGCAACATAGATGGGATCCAACTGGTCGGCAAGGAACGAGTCGCGGAGGTGCATGCGTTGCTTCTCTCCCCTGGAGTTGATGGGTATGACACCAGGGTCAACAATTACCACCACGCCCACAATGAGGTGGTGGCCCTCCAGGACCACATTTGTGATGAGGGGCACGAGGTCAAGCGCGTCCTGCTCTGAGCCACACAGCTCCGAAACCACCACCAGCAGGTTGGTCCATGTAAACACAGCACTGTGACAGATCAAAGCGAGGTGATCAGTGATTAGAAATTCAAAAACATTTTGATTTTAAGATTAATAAAGCATCAGAGGCCTCCTCACCTTTCAGCAATACTTCGATGAGCTCGTGACACAGAAGTCTCAATGTCAATAGGGTGGTATCGTAACCCTCGAAGCTCTAGCGTCTCGTCCAGTGAGCCCACCACAAACAGGGCATCATGTCGATCTGAAACACACAGAAATGTTTGTAGAGACAGCAAAGAAAAAAATGTAGACCAGTAATTGTCCAATGATGTCCCACTAAAGACAGTGCTAATAAAGTACTGCTTCCCTCTCCGGAGGTGGCAAAAGTTCTTAGCATGAGTTTTTGCTTCTGCAACCACCTGGGCAGCAGCATGCTTGGCTTTACAATACCAAATATCTGCCTCAGGAGTTCCAAAAGTCAGCCAGGCTCAATAGACTCCTACATTTGACAGCATCCCTTACTGCCGGTGTCCACCATCAGGTTCTTGGATTGTTTTCACAACAGGCACTTCAGACCTTCTAGCCACAGCTACGTGGGGCTGTATCACAGTGGAAGTAGATATTATGGTCCACTCAGACTCCATGCCGCCAGCTTGTCCCTGGAATCTAGGAGAAGCTCTCTTAAGTGAGACCTCCACCAGATGTTGCCAGCAGACCCTCACTACTACCTGCTGGCCTGCTGAGTCTATCCAACCTCCTGCTCCTCCAGCTCACCACTAGGTGGCAATCAGTGGACAGTTCCTGAGTGTCCAAGACATGCGGCTGAAGGTTAGAAGATATGATTCCAAAGTGGATCATCAACCTCCGCCCTACAGGGAGTCCTGTTGCACCATCGGAAATCGTTATGTTTGAACATGGTGTTCATTATGCACAGAAGAGATTAATCTCAGCAAAGGAAAAAAATCCTTTATTATTCAGTTCCTATTACTACTACAAGTCCCAGAATGCATCACTGAAAAGAGCAGGCAGCTAATCACTGAATTGGGAACACCTGGGGGGATAGCAATACTCTCTGCACTGGAGATGGAAAACAAAACAGCTCAACAAGAGTAGAAGGCAATTCAACATATGGTTTCTCTCAAAGACATTATTGGTGTCGTTGAAAATTTATTTTGATGATTTTTGATGTTACAAAGAAATCAGCATTTTTCCTAATATTTAAAGGTGGGCCCTAATTAATGTTTGGTTATGACCCCAAAACCCAAAAAAGATGAATAACGATTTATGGCTACTGTTAGAGAAACTGTGGAAAACGATTGACGGTCAATATCGATGCTTTAAAGTTTAAAGCTTGCTTTATGACAGTCTTGGTAAAAATCTAAGCACAATCTCAAATAATATTGGATCATATTCTAATTCTATTCATCTCTAAAAACATAAATCTGAAACAAATGGTCATCAGATATGTGATTTAACAGGCAGTATCTCATCAAATGTATTTATCTAAAAATATTGAAGTTTGAGCTGGATCTGTCGCTTTACCTCCGCTTGCATCCAGCAGCTCTGTCCTTTTTACGAAACCCAAGTATCCAGTTCGGGCCCATAACGTGTGTGGGTCTCCAAAGCTGAGCTTGGTGTTGAAGTGGTCTGCCTGCAGACTCTCCTCTCCGTAGATAGTGTAGTAACCGCTGGCATTGTGAGGGCTGTTCACCCAGATCTGAGTCAGAGAAACAAAAATGGTGTTTGTTCAACCCTGGAGGGCTTTGTTTGGTACTGACATACTGTTCCCTTAAAAGAGTAATATCAGCTATGTTACCTCCCCCAGGTGAGAATCCCCAAGAGGGCCTTTGGTCTCTGGATGCACAATGATCACTCTGACACCTGGAAGTATCTGCAAAATCACAAAAACGCATCAGCAACATTTTTGTCTGAGGGTTTAACAAACCAGTCAATATCTCATGTATCCCACCTTGCCAGACTCCATCAGTGGAAGACTCTGAGGTGCTCCTCTCTCCACCAGCCTCACTCTGGAACAAGAAAGAAAATATAGCTAAACACATGCAGTCACAGCAAATTAACTGGAGCATCTACAAAATGATTAACCTCAAACTAATAGTGGACAGTAAATAAAAAACATTTCTAAAGCTCATACATCTGGTATTTTATAATAAAAAAAAATGTACAAGACAAAATATACCTTGTTTTTCTAATCTATAGAGAAATAATAAAGGGTAAGTGCGACACTGAAACTGTGCGTGGGCCGAACACTGATTGGCTAAGGTAAAGCCAGATGTGTAGAGAGAAATTAGATGTTCTGGACGTCCCTTTGACTTTTTCCTGGTGTGTTATATTCAATACGGTTGCTGTGTGGATGTTTAAATATACAATATACTTGTACGGTAATTGCAATTTCTAGGCAAGGCAAGGCAAATTTATTTGTATAGCACAATTCAGTACAAAGACAATGCAAAGTGCTTTACATGATTAAAATACAGGAAGATAAAACAGAATCAAAGCAAGTAGGAAAAAATAAAAAATAAATAAAATAAAATAAAAAACGCAGAAACAAAAAAGAATATTAAAAACAGTTGTGCTAAAGAAAATATGTTTTAGTTGAACTGTTTAACTAGAACAGTCGAAGGCAATCCTAAACAAATGTGTTTTTAGTCTTGATTTAAAGGAACTCAGGCTTTCCGCACTTTTACAGTTTTCTGGAAGTTTGTTCCAGATAAGTGGAGCATTGGAACTAAATGCTGCTTCTCTATGTTTAGTTCTGGTTCTAGGTATGCAGAGCAGGCTGGAGCCAGAACACCTGAGTTCTATATCTGTATATACGCTATACTTATTTCTCAAGACTACACTTTACACCGTTGTCCACATGTTTACATTGCATTTCAATATATTTGTCATATTCTTTCTACTCTGCCTTTCCTCTGATACTGATGGCTTTTAATCTCATTGTATTACATATAATAATAAAGGCCTTCCTATTCTGGATGTCCCTTTATGTTAAAAAATCCGGCATGGCACATTTGGCAGCAGAAGAGTCTATAGAGAAAGAACCACCAACTGACACTGTAGTGGATATACCATGCCGATGTTAGGATCTATTTTATAGGGTCCAGCAGAATATGAGCAGTGGAATAATGGAGTAAATATATTTATGCTGTGGCTATTATTATTAACTATAGAGACAATCATACCAAATAAGACGAAATTGGGAAAAATTTTGATTTAACAGTTCCATTACAAGCTTTTTGTAGAATTTATAGAATAAATATCTAAAAAAGAAAAACATCTTTTGTATATAAAAATATGATCTACAGACTTTCACAGATTTGAAAAGTTAAAACTGGTTTTGTTTTTATGGATATGTTCCTCACTTGTGCTATTCTATTATGAACTGCGCCCCAGATTAGCATCTCAAGCATCTTTTCAATCGATAGCTTAAAAAACTGTGGACATTTCAGGAGTTGCAGATGCTATTTTTTTATTAAAATTTTTATTATTTTTCATTTGAATGAAAAGTTGCACTTAAGCCTCTAAAATGCTAAAGGGAAATGAGTATGATTTGGAAATGTTTGCATCCTTTGAACCGAGGAGGCGAATAACCAGCTGGTGTGTTACAAGCATGCGGTCTGAAAGCCCCCCCCCCAAAAACCACCGCGGTTTTGGACAAATTCAGACAGATGGCGTGAGTAATTCCTGTAGGTGTGAAGGCCTTATTACTGCACGGTGTGCACCAACATATGTTGCCAGATTACATCTTTATCAGTAAAGAAAGTTAAATATATCAGTAAGACAAAAGAGAAGTACCGTAGTATCTGAAACATGTTTATAAGTTGGTAACTGACTCAAAATGTTGTCATATTATCAATATAAAGTATATAATAAAAGCTGATGATATAAAGTAAATGAATTCCAATAATAAACAGGAAAAGGCAAAAATGTCCCTTATTTGTGAACCTTAAAAAATACTGATTATGATTTGATAATGCTGATTATCAGTGCTTATTTTTCATAAGCAATAAAAAAAAAAAGACTGCAACCTAGAAATATTTGACACTATGTTTGGACATCTCATTTAAAACAGAGAATAGGTTAATATTCAGTCATTGCATGCCGTTCATATTTTGCACCATATGAGCCTTTAAAACCCTGCTGGGCTTAAAATAGATTTGCTGAGTATTAATGCTACAGCAGAGGAATAATTCAATTTCATGTTTATCTACTTTAGAAAGTCATATGATTCAGGGACTGTCCCTGTCTGGTTTTGGTCTAACTGTTTAGATGGAAAAATCATATCAGATACAACTGGGATGTAGTCATTTTCTATGTGCAAGATAATACAGAAAAACAATCTGCTACAAGATCCAAATATAAGATACAGACTTCATGGTTTAAAACATTTGGTTTTAGTCTATATAGTAAAATAGTATTTTTTTATGGCTAAAATCTTATATTTTAGGCTACTGGTTGCTTTCTCTCCTGGTAGGCTTTGGCCTTCCTTGTGCTCAATCAAGAATATGCAGGTTTTCTTTGGACTTATTCTCAAAGCCATTTATTTCCATAAGGTGCATTGTCTTTCCATTTCCATTTAGAACAAAATAAACCAATATAACCTCAAACTAAGCACAACAGAAAAACGTTTGCCCCTTCCCCCTTGGCAACACCTGAACAGAATGAGTCTGACCTTAAATAAAACCCCATCACCCTTCCAATATAATCAAAGCACAAAAGGAGATGCCCCTCCAGGTGGAGATAAATACAGAAAAAATAAGGTAACTGGCTCCTAAAGAGATTTTTTGAATCAAGTCGATTTAGTTGAGACCCCTTATGTCCTCCTACCTGTCATGACGCAGAGACTTCATGTCCACATACACTGTACAGGGATCGGGACCAGTAGTTCCCTGTGAAGCACAAAAAGGTCCAACAGGTTCACATCTTTATGCTGACATGTTATTTATATTATTTTACAGAGGAAAAAAAAAAAGGGTCTGTAATTGCACATATTACTTGACTTTCTCAACTACAGATTATGTAGGAATCCTCTATTTCTGTTGCAATTTGAAGTCCTGCAGAAAGCAATACTAATGTCTGGTTACCTGCAGGCAGATTGCAAGATTAACTCTGGAGCCAAAAGCAGTGCTGACAGCCCTGGGCGAGAGTCCCAAATCCTTAAACAGCTTGGAGAAGGACTGCGAGAGGGCAAGACGAGGGCGTTCCTCCGCAATCACTACGCAGCTTCTCACACACGAAAGGTTCACCCCGCGGGCCTAAAATCCGCCGGACACAACAATCATATCCAAGAATCTACTTGCCAAAACTTACGACTCTGTGCATGTCGAGTCCTTACCTTCAGTAACTCAGTCTGAGTGCCCAGCCCTTTAGTGCAGAGCTCCATAACAGAGTAGGAGCAAAAGGTGTCTCGAATGCGGTACTGACTAAGTGTGCTCAGCCACAGAGACAAGCAGCTCTCCAGCTCAAAAGGAGGGATCAGGATGGACTGGTGACCAGAGTAAACACTGCAGAGGAAAAGGGTAAACAATGATTAAGGTCTGAGAATAAAGAGTGTAGACACATGGCTATTGACATGATGTAAATGTAAAGAAATAAATGGTCTATTGTACCTTGCAAGGCACCACAAGACAAAGCCCAGACCACAGTATGGATCCAGGCAAATGGCTATTTGGCGAGATGAATAAAGCTCACACTGAAGCTTTATGGAGCGACATAGGGCACTGACTGCTGCGTGAGAGATCTGCAACAAAGACACAAGAGGTTCATTAGTATTGCTATTTTCTGAAATATGTCTCTCTTAACAGCAAATATCTTATCATCTACAACAATGCAACAATGTGCTGTGGTTCTAAAGGTGCAGTGGATTTTGTGAAGCAGAGCAAGTCCAGTCTAGCAGAATATCTCATTTGATTTCCACCTGGGGCACTTCATTCAGTAGCTGTCATGGAGTCTAGCATGCCATGCATACTTTTTTATCTTCATGCAAATATTGACATTGAAAAAGTTTTACCTTGACACTACACACCCCTGATCTGACTTTAACATCATAACAGTTTAAATTTCCCCAGTTTCTGAAGATTGGTGTTAAATTACTGTGTTGTCTTTAGATAAAAACGCCTCATGATTGTTGTGTTGTGGAAATTATTTCTTCAAAATAGCAGTGGAAACATGCAAAAAGCTGGTTAAGCTTTTTGAAAAGTTTGATTGCAGTAGGACCAATGAATATTTTTCTACCGGATTACTAAGAACGATAAAAATAATTTGACATTCCGTTTTTATAAATATTATATTTTTTAATGAAAAAAATAAATATATATATACATATATACCAATTTACATTATCTCAAAAATAGATCTCAAATAGATCTCAAACTTGTAAATTTACTTAACGATGGCTTTATTATTTCCTTATGATGAGATGAGAAAATATCACGTTTGGTTTTTGTAGCAATACCAGTATATCATTTCAACTGTGAAGCCAAAACCAGACTTATACACTATATTGCCAAAAGTATTTGCTCACCCATCCAAATTATTGGAATCAGGTGTTCCAATCACTTCCATGGCCACAGGTGTATAAATTCAAGCACCTAGGCATGCAGACTGTTTTTACAAACATTTGTGAAAGAATGGGTCGCTCTCAGGAGCTCAGTGAATTCCAGCGTGGAACTGTGATAGGATGCCACCTGTGCAACAAATCCAGTCGTGAAATTTCCTCGCTCCTAAATATTCCACAGTCAACTGTCAGCTGTATTATAAGAAAATGGAAGTGTTTGGGAACGACAGCAACTCAGCCACGAAGTGGTAGGCCACGTAAACTGACGGAGCGGGGTCAGCGGATGCTGACGCGCATAGTGCGAAGAGGTCGCCAACTTTCTGCAGAGTCAATCACTACAGACCTCCAAACTTCATGTGGCCTTCAGATTAGCTCAAGAACAGTGCGCAGAGAGCTTCATGGAATGGGTTTCCATGGTCGAGCAGCTGCATCCAAGCCATACATCACCAAGTGCAATGCAAAGCGTCGGATGCGGTGGTGTAAAGCACGCCGCCACTGGACTCTAGAGCAGTGGAGACGCGTTCTCTGGAGTGACGAATCGCGCTTCTCCATCTGGCAATCTGATGTACGGGTCTGGGTTTGGCGGTTGCCAGGAGAACGGTACTTGTCTGACTGCATTGTGCCAAGTGTAAAGTTTGGTGGAGGGGGGATTATGGTGTGAGGTTGTTTTTCAGGAGCTGGGCTTGGCCCCTTAGTTCCAGTGAAAGGAACTCTGAATGCTTCAGCATACCAAGACATTTTGGACAATTCCATGCTCCCAACTTTGTGGGAACAGTTTGGAGCTGGCCCCTTCCTCTTCCAACATGACTGTGCACCAGTGCACAAAGCAAGGTCCATAAAGACATGGATGACAGAGTCTGGTGTGGATGAACTTGACTGGCCTGCACAGAGTCCTGACCTCAACCCGATAGAACACCTTTGGGATGAATTAGAGCGGAGACTGAGAGCCAGGCCTTCTCGTCCAACATCAGTGTGCGACCTCACAAATGCGCTTCTGGAAGAATGGTCAAAAATTCCCATAAACACACTCCTAAACCTTGTGGACAGCCTTCCCAGAAGAGTTGAAGCTGTTCTAGCTGCAAAGGGTGGACCGACGTCATATTGAACCCTATGGATTAGGAACGGGATGTCACTTAAGCTCATATGTGAGTCAAGGCAGGTGAGCAAATACTTTTGGCAATATAGTGTAGCTGGTTTTACTGTCATTATGGTTTATTCTAACATCTTTTTGAGATAATGACATTCTAAATTCACATGTTGTATCATCCTGTTACGTTGAGGTGAAAACCTTTCAAGCTTATTTTGGTCTGAAAATTGCTTCAATCATACTCTTTAGATGAGGTTGTTATGGTTCTTATTTGTTGTGACTCTGAGTTTTCTGTTATCAGCTGTTTTGTTATTTTCCATGATCTTCAAGCATTCTTGCTTCACTCGGCTCTGCATCTGGGTCCTTAAGCAACCTAACCACCCATTGTTGACAGAGTTGAAATGAATCTCATGTGCTGCAATTAGATATTTATTGTTTCAGCATCTCAAGATAATTGAAGCCAGACCCATTTTTTTAGTGGTTTATTTATTGTCATTGCAACATAAGATCTGAAGTTGTTTAGTAATGATGGGTTTATTACATCAGTGTAACTTGAAACTGAGTATAACTGAGAGAACTAGTATTGTCACAAAAACTGTTCAAATAAATCTAGGTCTGACATGGTTAATTGAATTAATCTTGTTAATTATTTATTAAATAATAATCTGCTACTATGTAAAAGTAATAATCGTTAGCTGGACTATACAGACTCTAAAACTTACCATTTGCTGAAAGAGCAAGCTGCTCAGAGCTGTAACTGGGCTGAAAAAAAAAAAAATATATATATATATATATATATATATATATATATATATATATATATATATATATATATATATATATATATAATTTTTTATATATATATTAGAGTAAGGATATGAAAAAACCTCTGTGAAGATACTCTATCCCCTCAAACTGCATTAAACCAAGTTGTTTCTTTTGTTTTTTGCATTTACAATATGCAATAAATGTTTAATGTTTGAGTTTACCTATCGTAAGATTAACGGATTAATGAATAAAAAAAATTTGATCTATAAAATAATCAATACATTAGGTCTAAATCTTGTTTCACAATGAAAACTAGGGATGCATGAGGTTGGAATTAGGGCCAATATCTGATATGCTTTTATTTTATAACTAATAACTGATACCAATCATTTTTACCCTAGACCTTCTTATAGACACTATCTTATTTTCTCCCTCCTTTCTTATGCAGTTGTTGCAAACAGCACTTTGCCTCTTTGTTCTTAAAACTTTAAAACCATCTTCACCACCGGCATTTAAACTTTACCATCACTCCTGTGACAGACACTTGCCTCAATCCGGTACATGTGACCCGCTTACCCTGCATGCATAATTATCACTTGCTCGTCACATTACCAAGGGATGCTAAAATTTTACACTTATGTCTTTTTGTCATGACAACTTTTTGATTATCTGGTTGTTATATTGCAGAAAATGGAAGAAAAATAGGAAAAATAAATTTCCCCAGCTGAGCCTTTTTTGCTTGCACTTATCCACTGTCTACTGGACTCTGCTGCAGCCTTATTAGTTATAAGTCTGGCATGATACAGCACATATCAAATGTTCCAACACTTGACAGCACTCAACTTTATATATATATATTTTTTTTATTTTTTTCCATTAATTTTTTGTTTTTATTTTTTTATATTTATTTTTTCCTAAAATCCAGGAATCTTCGTATTCCAAACTGTTTAAGAGGCAGTATTGGTTAGAAACGTGTAGAAAGCTGAATCTCACCTTCACACCAGTAAGCATTCCCGTAGTAGAGACGCTGAAGTCCAGATAAGCTATCATCTCTGCTGTGGGAGGCTTATAGATCTGCGGAGGCCGACGGCGGGGAAGGTCATCTGCAAACAAGCAGAGTGCACAGCTTTTACAGGTTAGAAAAGGCCACACAACAGAAAAAAAAATACAGAAATAACCTCTGTTAAAAGATACTTATTGGGAAGCTTCTTGTATAACTAGGTAACAACAATTCACTGTAAGTCAAACTGAACTGGAAGTGGTGCCAACTATGTGTTGAGGTGAGGCATTTTTAGGTTCATTACCCGTATCAATGATGGTTGGCCAGGTTTTGATGTTCACAGAAGCTGCAGCCTCTTTAGAGCGCAGAATCCTCATGAGGTTCTGTGTTGTGAGGATGCAAGCAGCTTTACTGACCTGCCAACAAAACATGATGATGAAACATGAGAATGATTCATCAGCAGAAGAAGCTAAAAAAAAATCTAGATAAGAACATTAAACGCCCACACATCCATTCATGCAACAGGATCACACTGCCTGATGTTAAATCTCCAAATGTTTTATTATGTCTCAGTTTAAATGTTAGAATGTTAACAAAATGGCCAAAAAATAATGGACTATAAACATTTCTAAGCAGATATTATGAGGCCTACATCGATAATCATCCGAACAGTAGGCAAAGTGGCTGCCAGGTTCTGGGGGTGAGGAGGTCTGACGTTGACTGGAACACAGCCAGCGTAGAGACAGCCATAGAAGGCTGCAATCAGATCGATCCCTGGGGAAAACACAGAGGACAAAAGCACAGTTAGAAATCATCAAATCCCTAAGGTTCAACAGCATGTAACTGCATTGGGAAAAATTTTTATATGTAGAGCCAGAGGCAGAACTTGCCAGGAGGATAGAGCAGCACAACATTCTCTCCCGTGTTGATGCTGCTTTTCTCAGAAAGGGCAGCAGCTATCTTCTCTGCTCTCTTGTGGAGCTGGACGCAGGTTGCCGTGCCAACGGTTACACCCTAAAGGACAAACGTGGAGATGAAAAACACAACAGTGTTGTAAAATAAAAATAACAAAGGTGCAAAACACTTGAGTAAAGTGATCATCTCATGTACATCTCATTAACTTTGTACCTTTGCATTGAGGAGAACATAGAGGATGTGGTCTGGGTCTGTCTGGGCCCTCCACTGAAGAGCTTCAGTCAAATACTGATGCTACAATTTGATGAGAAACTTAATGAGAAGTTGCACATCTAAACAAGTCAAACACACCTGAGGAAGGGTGTCATATGCAAAAAAGAAGAAACTGTTCCTCAGACTTGGCACTGTTTATTTTATATCAGCCCAACACAACCTGTTCATAAATCTCACTCTGAGTCAGCACAGCTCAGGGTGTGAGAGATAGTGAACATCGAGGATGCATCGCTTATCAATTTGAAAAAGCATGCAGGTTCTTTCTTAAGTTTGCTCATTAAATATAGCCACAATACAGCACACAGGTTAGCATGTTACCAGCAGAAACACAGGTGTGGGAAACATGCCAGGCAGGACTGTAGTTCTTACCATCACAGTGGGCCACATACAGAGCTACATCCAGAGAGACATAAGGGCAAAGAGAAAAAAGAATCCAGATTTTTCTGTAAAACTAACTTCAGCCAAAGCTTTGACAATTAGTATAGGGGCACTAAAAATATTCAAGCATCACCTTTTATAACTAAAAAAACAAACAAAAAAAAACAAAAAAACAATATTGAGCATTACATTTGTCGGCGTGCAAATCATTCATGCATTTATGTAAATCTGGTCAGTAGGAGGCTTTGTTTAACTTATCATGAGACATTTGCACATTTGAGCTCAGCCTAACAGCAGAAAAATATTGGACATAGCATTCCCTTTTCTGGAGGACCTTGTAGTCCTTTTCCTGTAAACATTACAGAGCAAATGTGTCTTATACTCCACTCAAATATAGGCATTTTTAACTCCAGATTTATTGAATACATAACAATCTTAATAACATTTCAGGGAGCATGGAGGAGGTTCTTCGTTTTTATGGAGATGGCAAACTGTCATGAATGCAGTTTGATGGCAAATTTCAATCTGATGCAAAAACTTGTGCATGTATGCATGCACATTATTTATGTTTAAGTGTAGTTATGAGGAGATAGCTTTGATTCTCTTTTGAATTACACTCACACATCAATTCGGTCTCTGCCTTCTTAAATCTTATTAATTTTGCAAAGAGAATAGTATTGCTTATTTTTCTTAACTATGTTTTGATAATCTCCATATGCCATCGCTAATATTTAAGTTCCACCAATGTGATCTTCTAAGCTTACTATTTACTCCCGCTGCCAGCCCTTTTTCTGCATTCTAGAGCTGCAGTTTGGTTGGGCATGTGGTTCAAAGTCCTACAGCACAGATTACCTTTCGGACAAGATCTTGGTCTTCAATCATACCCAGGTCCCTCCCTACTGCCTGGGCAATCCGCTTCCCTGCCACCAGGTTGCCCACCATGACGGATGCAGGACCTACACCGACTACAGGAAGGAGCAAAACATCATTAAGAGGCAAAGGAAAAAACAACACATAACATAACATAACATAAAAGAGGATTTACTGACTATTTAGGCAAAGGGAATTATATTAATGGGTCTAAAAGTAGGTAAGAATGTCAATATAGAATAACATCCAGTAGATATTTCTGCATGTCAAGTATATTAATGAAAGTCCGTCCGTCCGTCCGTCCATCCATCCATCCATATGTTTTTGGAGAAATCCTTATCACTGTCACTTACCGGGCTGCTTCTGGCGGGGCTTTGGCAGGTTAGTGACACATGTATGTGGACACATCAGGATATTGCAGGGGTGCAAGCTCCCTTCCAAGAAGAATTGCTTGGTGTCGGAGATGTGGATACCACCAAGGGGCGTTTTGGGCAAGGTGTTTGCTGGGACCAGTGCCAGACAATAGAGGCCAACCTGGTGAATGCTGTCGATAGCCTGCAGCAGAAGCCAGCCAACTGGGTCAAATATGTTGAGCAATATTTGTTGTTTAAAGAAATTAAATGCAAATTTCTTGATTTACCTGCAGCACTCTACTCATCCACTGGAAGCTGTCCTCCTCACTGGCATCTGGTCGTTGCTCTGCAACAATTACTACCCTCTCGTCATAGAACACCGTTACTGAAAACACAGCAATCCTGTGACAGAGAAACAAAGAGGAATGGACTGATAGCGTCTTAGAGGGACAGTTTCACAGTCCAGTGAAAGAACAAGCCTTACTGTTCTTTTCAAATGTATTCATACCTCATCAACTTCTTATTTTTTTTTCATTGGGATCTCATGTGATAGACCAGCATAAAGTGCAGTAGCACATAACTTTGAAGTGTTTGGAAAATAATGCATGATTTTAAAAAATCATCACAACTGAAACTATGAAAAGTGTTCTTTATTTGTTTTTGAGTCTTTGAGTTGATACTTATTAAACCCACCAAAGTATTTTGGACTTTATCTGTAGTTGCTTTGCATGTCCTCAGACTAGAGTTAGACCAATATGTCGGCAAGCCGATATTTGGGGACAACATTTGTGCTTTTTTCTTGTATCTTTCTTGTGGACTCATGCATGCATTGGCTGATTAACGCCTGCATTCAGCAGCAAAGCATTTATTACCACTCCCCTCCATTTACTACCAATTCACTACAAAAACAATCTAGAAATAGGTAAAAATGTCTTAAATTTAATATAATTACCCTTAATTTGAGTAGGCAAATAAGATGATTTGCCAGTGGAATGAGTATTTTTACTGTTAAAATAAGATAATTAGATAATATGCACTTGAAATAAAACAATACAATTGTTTTTTTCTTATTTTAAATATAACTTGTCTTGTTTCTTTGGCAAAGGGTCTCACTTATCTCATCAATTCAAGAAAAAAATGCACTTATTTTAAGAAAAAAATATATTTAGACTTACATTTTATTGCAGTGTTGTTTATGTTTGTTCAAGTTGTTAGTAGGTGTTTTGTTAAAATTGAGACTATTGTAACATGTGCTATCATTTATGTTATTTTTATTATGCAAATGGAATTTCGGGAATCGGTTAGACTGCTGTCAAAATTATCCCTCTCGGCACTGGCCTTAAAAAACCTGTATCGATCTAACTCTACCTCAAACTGACATTTTTCATAAATCTTCAGTGCAACATAGCTCTACCTCACTAACACCGAATGGAGACTTTTTAAAGAATAATAATGAACAACAGATGTATTATTTGAAACCTTTCCTAAGTGCTGATCAAAACCCATTGCAGCCTTTGCTATATTTTTTTTGTTGAGTTTTTGCAGCACTAGTGGCTTGTTTTTCGACAGTAGGCTGAATGAGAGAGGGGGAGAGACATGCGGCAAAAGGACCACAGGTCGGATTCGAACCCGGGTTGGCCACGTCTGGAAGATGAATCTCGGCTGCAGTCACGGTTCTCTTATAGTCCTGAACATGTTTTTCTTTAGGGATCGCCCTGTATTTATCTAATTAAATTTTTTTCTATCAACTATGACCAGATGTCCAATACCTGGTGAAGAGAAACATCCCCCAGGAGGATACATCCAACTTGCTTCCTGGGTGGGACGACCTGTTCAGTCTGATGTGCTGCACTGTTCTGTCTAATAAAGATTAGCTTTATTTTGGTCTTGTTGCACTCAGGCTGGCTTTAAACAGAACTCTTTGCAGTTTTCTTTCAGTGGTTACTTCAGTTTTGTCACTCTTTCAGGAAAGACAAGCTCTGTAGAGTGAATAGTAATAGTTTTTCAGTTGTTAGATCATCCCACCTGAGTCTCGGTGGACTGCCATGCCCTGATAGGTTTGCTTTATTGTTTAATACACTTCTATTTTTAGTAAATGTAAATATTTTATATTAATCCAATATTGCTTTAAATATCTCCACTTCTTGATCTGTCTGCTGTGTTTCTTAGTCTTTGTGATGCTGGTTTTTATTGCTAATGTTGTAGCAAACCTGCAGCCTTCACAGAATAGCTGGATTTACTATCACTTCCAATTGTTTAAATCGTGTATTATTTCCCTGCCTCACATTGTGTTTGCCTGTTGTGTACATTTTGAGTGAAATGTGTGGTTATGAAGTTAAGAAATATGAAAAAGCACCTTATTGTTTCCCAGATTTTGGACACGGTATGTTTGGTTTTAACCACTAGATGTCAGTGGTGATAAATACGGCGAGCCATGGTAATAAAATGCACGCCAACCTTCCACGGTAGACTGTTTTAACTGGCTCCACAGCCAGAGCAGTGGCCACCAGGTCATCAGCGTTGTGCCTCCGTCCGCTAACCATTAGCAAGCCTTCTATCTTTCCCACCACGAAGATCAGACTACCCTGTGCAGAGGGTGGAGGGGAGACAAAGCTGAGCCACTATCCTGCAAATGAGGGGAGAAAGGATTCACACAACCAGAAAGTACAGTCTAACTTACTGGGCCAACAAACCCCAGGAGTCCAGAGCGCACAAATGGAATCTCTCCTATGGGAACTCCGCTAGCATTAACCGGTATCACCTGAGCAAAGAAAATGGACAAATTATTGAAGACAAAACAGACAAGCTCATGTTTCCTGTTAGCACAAAAACAGGAGCATGTTGGATCCTTTCCCCCATGTCATACCTCGAAAGTGTTTTTGGTGAGTCCAGGCAGGCCGTAGTACATTGTGCCTCCAGCGCGGGAGTTGATTATTATCTCTCCAATCTCATCCGTTTTACAAAGCTGAGGAGGTCCATCTGGTCTAACTATACACATCAGAGCTGAACGTATAAAAGAGGAAAACAGAGACCATGGTTAAATGGAAGACTTAAAACAAAGATCCTGGCTGTAGTACAGATGTCTTTATGTCTGGGGTATTAGTTTATCTCCCAGAGATTAATGATAGTAAGAGTTTGGAAATATGATTCAATATACATGCACTAAAAGAGGATATGCACATAATCATGTTTCAAGTTATTTCATCCAGGTAAAAACTCATGACAGTTATGGATCATTAGTCCCTGCAGTAAAACATAGAATTTGTTTCCATGTACTAACATAATAGACCTTACACCTCAGAATGTCTCATGGTCTTTTGCAGCTCATACCAAAGGCTGTATAAATATGTCATTCTTATTTTTCACGACTACGTCTGCTTATCCTCACCCCCGGGCATGACGTGTCCCACGTCTTGTACAGTCAGAGCAGAGTTCTTGTCCTCGGTGTTGACTCGGATGACTCCGTAGCTCAGACCACCCATGGAAAGGATGGCACGTGCAGGGAGAGGTGCACCTGGAACCCCTGGCCTAAAGAAAGCCAAAGTTTGACTAATTCATTGTGTTGTTTTTGGGCTCTAATGGGAAAAAAAAAAAAAAAATCTATATATATATATAGATTTTATATATATATGGCTGCCAGGTTCTGGGGGTGAGGAGGTCTGTATATATATATATACACATATATATATATGTGTATATATATATATATATATATATATATATATATATATATATATATATATATATATATATATATATATATATATATATATATATATAATCTCCACTGTGAGATCAATAAGGTCAATCAATCAATCAATGTTCAGATGATCTATTTTGTTTTTTTAAGGATACCACTGAAAGACTCAGACTGCTTTGATCAGATGCAGCTTACAATGGAAAGACCAACTCCAACTGGGGTATATTTTTATAGACACAGACACTTTATGAACAGTACAGTAACCAAGCCAGTGATGTCCTAATCATAGTGTCATTGCATAGGCCTTAAATTGAGTGTGTCTGGTTAAAAATTAAGATAAGACAATGGCAGGATCTGGTTCAGGGTCTACTTTATCGTTATTAAGTACACACAAAAAATTTGAAGAACAAAGAAACAGTGAGCTACCTGCGTATAGCTACAGTCATGGCCTCAGGAGAGGCAGCACAGGGGCAGATAACTTCAGGCTTTAGTCCATGTGACTGAAACAGATTCAGGAAGGCATCACAGGAAGAGACAGACCCTGGAAAAGAGCAGATAGGCAATCCACTCATGTTAACCCTTTGACACCTGAATTCATATACTTGTATGTAAAATGTTTGCACGTGTTTTTTTTTTGCCTTTAAGCAGTTATAAAATTGAGATTGTTACTTTGACTACAACACAGAAAAGATAGCAATTTAGTTATAGTGCAAATTTGTAACAACAGTTGTACCAGAAAGAAGTGCTTGCCCAAAGCTCCTAGGTCCCCACTGAATATGTAACTGGTATTGGGGGAATGCACTTTCGAAAATTTTTTTAAGGCACTAGTGGATCGTTTTTTTGACCGTAGGCTGACAGGAAAGGGGGTATGAGAGAGGGGGAAGGCATGTCGCAAAGGTCCACAGGTCGGATTCCAACCCTTGTTGGCCACCTCGAGGACTAAGGCCTCCGTACATGGGTCGGAGCCACAGCTGAAACAAACTGTTCAACATAGAATATGGTTTGATGCATGTTTGAGACAATAGGCATCAAGGGTTTAAATCTAATCCATTTTAATTTGAAGAAAAATAAATAGTTTACAGCAGGGGTATCAAACTCAATGTACTTGGGGGCCGCGGGAGGCAGAGTCGGGGTGAGGCTGGGCCGCATCAGGTTTCCACAAGAAAACCTTTAAAAAATACTAATCTTCTCAAAGATTTTAACACAAAATAAGATGAAAAAATAAACAAATAAGGAGAAAATAAAGAAATTAATAAGAAAACCAATCAACCAGTCAGTAATAAGTAAATAAAATAATAATTATTATAATAATTAGCATTCATATCTCTGTATTAACAGTTCTTTAAGCTTCTTCTGAACATGAATTGTCCTGAACATAAGTGGAACATTGAAGAAAATGAACTGTTCTTCTGAACATGGCCTCTCTTGCCTACATCTTGCTGCTAGAGACCTGGCAGCGCTTCCTCTCACATAGCTGAGCCACATTTGGCTTGAGGGAGGAAGCAGTTGAGACCCTCAGTATGGATTGAAGATGATCATCAGTGAGTCTGGACCTGTACTTGGACTTACTGAAGTTCAAGGTGGAAAAGAGCTTTTCGCACAAGTATGTGCTCCCAAAAAGGCACATGGTCCTCTTGAACATTCGGGAAGCTCAGGGAAGCCGGGGGTCAATTCTCTCAAAAACTGCCCAAGCTTGTATGCTTTTCCATTCACATCTCTGAACTTGGCTTTGAGCTCAGAGTTGCACTGCAGCTCAATGAGCTCCATTTGAAGCACAGGTGGGGCATCTTGCACATCAAAGGAGAGAGCCAGCGGATCATTAGACCCCGCGTAGATGAATTATATCCTGATTCCTGACAACTAATTTATTTATTTATTTTTAATTAGACTGTGCGGCTTTTATACAGGTGCGCTCTGTAGTCCGGAATTTACGGTAGTCATTTTGTTCTGCCGAGCAGCAATTAAAAACTTTTTTTGGAACTGTTGTGAACGCAGCGAGCTGGGACGAATGTCCGCGTGTGTCCAATAGAAAGGAGGCAGCCAGCCAGGAACGGACGAAAACGCTCCATGGCAACGCTGCTGTAACTTTCACTCACTGAGAAATGTTTCTGTTGCACAGGGAAAAATATGATTTATGTTTTTCTTTCATTTAAATGTTAGTTTTATGCTTTGCATGTTTGGAGGGTAAGATATGATTTGTTTTTCTTTGTATTTTCTTCTTGAGCTTTGCATGTTTTGATGTTTGTTTATATGATTGTTTTCCTTTATTTTAGACTTTAGAATTTTCCCTGCATGTTGGGTTGTTTTGGTTTGTTTTTCCTTTGTGACAATCCATGCGCACTGGACTGAAGTAGTTGTTTGGGGAGGCGGAGTGCATTAATTGCGCTGCGTAATTGCTGCGCTCAGGTGTGAGCAGGGGCCGATTAAAGCTGACATAAAAGGAGTCGAATGAAAGGAGGAGCAGGAAGTGAATCTGCAGGTGTCAGAGACGGACGCGCTGCCGGGGGAGAGGCAGGCAGATCACCGGAGGGTGCACAGATGGCCCAGTAAGGAGTATTAGTAAGTAGCGCTCCCCCTCGCTTAAAGCATAAACAGGAACATATCTTCCGACGGGGTTTTGGCACGTGGATGCTGGCGTTCTCCCTGCTGGATCGGTCTGGAAAGGGGCGTGGCACGCCAGGGAGTGGAACAGTGTCGGAGCGCTGCAGAGTCAGCTGTGGATCAGCCAGTGGGTGCTGCAAACCGATCACTCGCACCAGAAGCAGCATAAGAAGCGGAGCCCCACTGCCAGCCTCTGATTTTTAAGTAAAACTCTTAAATTTTAGGTTTTATCAGGAAAAGAAAAGGACTGTTTTATCATGCCACTTTTGCGGTGGCTTTTTGTATAAATAAAACACTTGAACTTAAGTTCTTCACGGTTTGGGTCTTTGAGTTGCTTGCTCCCCCTTGTGTCAACGACTGAGTGTGGAGCCATACTGGCCACATTTCTCTGCTTGCATCAAACCGATGTCCTGCCCTCAAGAGCCATACACCACCGTGATTGGCCGGTTTGTTCAGCTCCGCACAAAACTCTGTACACTGCCGTTCATATCAAACTCGCGGGCCGCACTAACATTAAACTTTAATAACAAGGCGGGGGCCACAAACTCGTGGTCCACCGTGAGTTTGAGACCCATGTTTTACAGGGTTCCTACACACTTCAAAATACCACATTTTACAGGAAACTATATAAAGTATAAACACAATAGGTTTACTATGTATATATAGTAAATAGTTTCCAAATGACCAATAAAAGGTCCTCAGACTTGCCCGAAACCCTGGATTCCTAGGATCTACTCACAGGGATTAGCACCATCAGCAACAATGAGCATTCGTAGCGAAGCCAGGCTGATATCTCTCTGGTCCCGATGAGCCATCATGGCCCAATGCAGATCCCGGCACTTCACCAAAGCTACACGAGCTGCAGAAGAACAATAACAAATACATCATGCAGGGCTTTATACAATGTGACACAAACTGAAGAATGGAAGTAAATTACCTTTATTCACATGGACCCTCTGCACCCAGGAGAGAGGACAAGCTTTCATCACAGCATATGGAACACTAATGGTGTGTATCCTGTTCATGACAGCCTGTAGAAAAAACAAAACAAATCTGTAGTTTAGTTGAGCTAAAGGGAACCTATAAGATGGAATTTCATAATTATTTAGTTTTACCTTTTATTTAAAAAAGTGAGAATATTTGTTTCCTTTATTTTTTTTTTTTTTACATTTTATCCTTTTTCTGTAATCTAACTGATCACCATTGAATTTCGTTTAATTTAATCTTAAGATTCAGTAAGATAAAAATCTATTCTGCAAAGTTTAACTGGTTCAGAAGGACACAGCTAAAGTAAACTATGTTGTAATGTAGAATTTGTGGCTGTATATTTCTGGAATAAAACCCTTTATAGACTTTTAGGCCCCGTCCACACGAAGACGAACCCTGGCCTAAACACACACATTTTTCTCCAAACCAGCCTCTCATCCACACGAAGCCGGCGTTTCGGGGGTCTGTAAACGATCTTTTTTATTCAGCCTTCAGAGTGGGAAGATTTCGAAACGCTGTTTTCGTGTTTCCATCTTTACGCTCTAACCGCATATTTTTTTTTTACACGCATGCGTCATAGCGTCGCCTCTAAACACGCATGCGCGACACAGTATCACAACAACAATGGCGCCGTTGCTGCTAATGCTACTCACCCTGCTGTCGGGCTTACAACAGAATCTTCTTCTTCTGGAATATCTCCAGGAAGAACAGAGCAATATCGACGACATAGTTCAGCACCTGAATTTGACTTAACCACGAAAATGGACCCGCAGGGCAACCATGTATAAATATTAGTGCGCATGCCCAACATTTCGTTGCTTATTTTTGCTTTGGCACCACAGCGCCACTTACAGGCCTGGCATACATTTTGCAGCGTTTTCATGCATTCGTGTGGTCGATCACATTTATTTTACGTCTCCGTCTTTACGGCAAACGTTTTGGAAAATATCAGCGTTTCGTGTTCGTTTTGACTTCGTGTGGACGGGGCCTTAGTTTATCCGATTTTAAAGCTCAATTGACAATGATGAGTTCTTTCTTTATGGAACAGTTTGGTCAGCCATTTTATTTGTGCTTTAGAAAAAGAAAACTTTATATTATTTATATTATTGTGGAAGATATTGTGGAAGAAAAGAATGTGTGCAAGGTGGGCATTTTAAAGAGGTCAAAAATGAACACATTTCATATTTTACTTCCTTCAGGTTTGACCAATGTTTTGGTAAAGGGCTCCAGATGTTACCAGAAGAATACGTTCGCTAATCTCTTATTTGAGTTTAGTCTATTCAGAATGGCAAATACTTACAGTTAGAACACCATGCCATAAGCCCATATCCTTCTTGAAGTCCAGAACATTTACCAAGGTTTCGCCTTAAAGCAGAAATATAAACGTTAAGCCTTCTGCTGTTCTTATCAGGATGTGTTTTATGATGGGATCATAATTCACTCACCCTCGCAGTAATTGCAGGCCTGGGTCAGTGCCTGGCAATGGGTCAGCATGGCCACTTTAGAGACGGCAACACCAACCACTGTCCCTTCTTTACTGGCCTTATACTATAAAAAATGGAGCATAAACTGTTAAAGAAAGTGTAAACAAGACCTTAATTATGTAAAAACGAATTCTGAATTTTGATTAGATGCACCATCAGGACCAAAAATGGAATAATAACAGGAAGCAAACACAGATTTTTTACCTCGATGTAGGCTGGGTCAGTGTTTGCTGTGGGGATGTGCGGCTGCCAGTCTTTGGACGGCTTGGTCAGGTATTTAGAGTCAGTTATCACCCACTTCATTCGAGGCCATCCTGGCAGAGAATACCATAAGATATATATATATATATATATATATATATATATATATATATACACATGCGCATATGAACGTATGAACATAAACTTATTACTATTCTCCATACTTATTTCCTGATTATTGTAAGTATCTCATGATGAAAGCATCTACTGGAGCTTTTAAAGTTAGTTTTTCAAAAATGTTGTATTCAATCAGGCACTAACCATGGCGTGCCTAAGCAGCATTGGTCAAACAAGCCCTGAACCAGTTTTAAAAAAATAGAAGCTAGAAAGAAGAGCAGAAAATAGTTTTATGGTCATTTTAAAGGATGTCTTATATTGTATCTGCCACAACTTGGATGCAATAGCAATGTACCAATCCGAACTAGAGAGCTACATTTGTTATGTTTTAGGTTACCTCTACCTAAAATAGCTTCATTTTGAATGCAGGTGTACATTGTTAAAGCATTTTTTTAATAAACAGCTAAAGAAAACCTTTTACCTTTTAAGAGAGTTCGGTTCAATTGAATTAAAAAAAATTTTATTGACCCCAAATAAAATTTTTAATGTTGTAATTTGGGGTTTTTTCAACAAGTTAATCCATATCTTGATAAGGATCTTACGTAGCAGTTTGTAGGAGGGGATCACTGAAAATACACAATGGGGTTAAATTAACCCATTGGTCCATTTAGACTTAGACTCAACTTTATTTATCCCTGGAGATTACTCCTTCAGGGAAATTCTGGTTCCATTAGCTTATATAGAGTACAAAGGGCAGAGTTAAAGCAAGAAGCCATTAAAGATAAAACTACAAAAGACAATATAAAAAGAGAGTATATAGTACAAAAGAGCATAAAAAAGTATAATGTCCTGGAATATGTTTCCTTTAGATATAAAAATATCTGAACAATAAAGAGCTAAGGAAAGATTACACAGTAGTTGACTTGGATTATTGTACTAGTACTGCAAAGATATACTGACCTTAATAATAAGAAAAAAATATACAGACCACACAGCACTGGCATGTGTTATTGCACAATGACAGACAAGAATATTGCACATGAGTGGCAATAGGTAATGTTTTGCACAAGATGTCCCTTGTCCCTCTTCCTATCACATGTATTGCCCTTATGAGTTGTTTTAACACCTATATAGTTGTAACTGCTGCCAATTCATTTCTAAAAGTGTATTAGTCCATATTCCAGACAGTTTGCATACCTTTGAATTGCATTATTTCACCAGTGGGGGTCTTGGGCAGACCTTTCAAGCAGATCTCACTGGTCAGAGCCAGTCCAACTCCGCAGCTGCCAAGCAAGAAGCCCACCTGGCTGATACCAGCATCCTGAAAAGACAGAACAGAAATGAAAATCCTAGTTAGTTACCAAACATACCTCTAAAGGCTCCTGTTTATGTGATGGGCTTCATACCTTGCGAGACAGAGGTACCTCAATGGGTACAGGTATTACTTCAGCCAGGAGGCAGCCGTAGAAGGCTACCCAGAACATGCCAGGGTCGCTGTTTGGGTACACCAGCGCCACCTACAGAGACAGTTACTTTCCCTTTAGAATCATGTTAAGTCCAGCCATTTTCTTAATGTATTAAACTCTGGAGTTAAGAGCTGATTTGGTTGAAACGTCTTGTAGTTTGGTCAAAAGAAAAACAAAAATCAGTGGTTGGTTTTCTTTTTCTAACACACTTACTGCTTAATAGAGCTTACTTTACTCATAAAAAAGGATTGAATAACTGATGATACCTGATTTTAAACCACTTATACAAGTAAAGATCTGGATGTTGTGGCGTTCCTTTGCTGCCAGCACTGTTCTGTATCTATCTTCTCATTAACTCTGACAAGCTTTCTTGTTCTTGTTTAAAAGCATGTCCACAGCGTAATAACTGAACTTTACTGATCTCACATTGGAAAAATTTACCTCTGCGTTTAACCCATCCACTTGGGGAGCAGTGGGCTGCCATTGGTTAAGGGTCTTGCTCAGAGACCCAGAGTGGCAGTCTGTGGGAGTGGAGTTTAAACTCAGAACAGGGTTCGTAGCTCTACGCCCTAACCACTAGGCCGCCGCTACCCCAGATTGATGCTGCCATTATCATTTCTGATGGTGGGAATGGTAAATTGAAGGTGTTTTGCAATGCTCATTTTCCTTAACACATATTGCTTAGCATGTAGGTTGAAATAAATCATTTAGGTCTTGAATGAACAAAGCACCATCTTCCACATATTAGCAAGTGCATCATTGTGAATTTGATTCAAATCTTACACTATTATATTTTGGTTCTGTTTTTCTGGTTTTATTCATTTATTTTCAAAATACATTGTTTTTCCTTAACTTTATTTGTATAATACATGTGTTTAGGCTTTAAAGAGAGAATTTCCCCAGTGTTGGGCAATGAAAGGCTATTTTAATCTCTGCTCTCTCAAACAGAGCCACTTTTCCAAAAGGGACTAATCCTTTTAACAGATCCTCTTACCTCGAACCTGTTAGTTTAACACTTTTGGGCTTTAAATAGGGGGCATCTGCAGACAACTACTTGCTCTACTGTTAACATTTGGGCATCAGAGTAATTGGGGTTGAATGCTAAAGAAATCCAGAAATCATAAATTCTATTTGCAGAAGCAAAATGTATGCTTTTCAGGTGGAAATATAAATTCTTTTCATATTTAGCTGTCACTGGATTTTAATGCGCTTTCTGTGCATGTGGCAAGTTAGTAAAAACGTGCCTGAACATCGCCATAATAACTGGAGGATTGTGGGTATAAATTAAGTCTACGGCACATTTTTTCCCCTATCAAATTCCTGTCCTGAAAATCATCTTCTGTGTCTGTATGCATGCTGCCTCACTCTGTCTCCAGGTTTGAGGATTTGCTCGTTCTTGGTGCCCAGCTTGTTCAGGAGGGTGTACGCCAACTTCACACTGCGACTCCACAGCTTCCCTAACACACAGAGACGTGCGGGTGAGGAGGAGGCATCACGTTACTACAGCCAGGACAATATGATACTAGAGAAGTTTCTTCTTTTTTTAACTACTTGAATTACAAAAACCTCAAACTTTGGACTTCCAGGCAGATTAATTAACCGCTCACCATAAGTCAGGGTATAGAGAGGCTTGCCCGTTATGTCCAAAGCAGTAAGAGCAGGGCTCTTTCCCAGAGTTGCCCCCCAGCGAGCCAGTGCCGCCTGCAGAGCCGGTGGCCAGTTGCTGACCACTCCCAGAGGCTCCCCTTTTACCGGGATGATCTGACGCCCCTCTGGCCTGGGTGTGTTTGGGTCCGGCTGGGGTACTGTGACAAACAAAGGAATCAGAGATCTTTTGGATAATTCACAGATTGATGAGTCTCTGGAGTATGGCATCAATGTAAAGCCAAGTGTATATGTATCAGCCTGCAGAACCACCCCCCAAAATATATTTATCAGTGCATCGATTTAGTGCAAGTAATATCATCAGACATGCCACTATGTGACATTACATCCATCCATCCATCCATCCATCCATCCATCCATCCATCCATCCATCCATCCATCCATGCATCCATCCATCATGCTTATCCCAAGCAGGTTCGCGAGGAGTGCTTTTGCCTATCTCTGTCTACGGGTGAGAGGCGAGGTACGTTACATCCAATCAGTGATTAAACAGAATTTCATGACTTCAATCATAAGTAAATGAACTAAATGATACTGTTTTTAATATCTTAATATTACTGTTGTATTTATTAGCAAGAGAATATTCAACAAAACCGGTATCATGAAGAAACTTGGTGGTAAATATTTTTAAAAGTTGTAAGAAAGAAGCTTTAGAAGGTAAATTAGAAATAAAGAAAAGCTAGTGCACACCAAATTTAAATATAAAAGCACCTCTTCAAAAATGAATTCTTTATAATGACAGTCACTGTGATAAAATAAAATGTGATGAGAAAGAAGAGCGTTTGTTGGGCTTTCCTTATAAGGTGGAAGGTTTTCTTAGTCCCATAGAGATCAGAGGAAATGTGAATGCAAGGCAAATTTTTACTTTTTTAGGTTTTCTAGTAAAGTACTGTTGTTAACAAGAGAGTTTCCCCACTGTGAGGAAACTCTTTATGCTTATAACAGATCAATAGATGATTATTTTATTTAATAAATAATTATGACAATGCATGAATAAACATTTCAATGTGTTAACTAAAATAGTTTTCACTGGCTTGAAAAAGTTTTCATACCTCTTGGGCTTTTTTTTTTTAATATTGATTTATGTTGCAGCCACAAATCTGTGGTGTTCAGTGCTTCCACCTTTACTTTTTTTCACATCAAATCGTTTAGAATAACACAATATTATTAGCAGTACTTGGAAAGTCAACCATACAAAATAACTAGTTACTTCTCAAAAAAAGATTCTGAACTAGTAACTCAGTTACTGTTCAATCAAAGTATCTATTTACTGGCCAAAGTAACTATGTAGTTACATTTCTATGATCTAAAATGTCAAAGAATTTAGATAACTGAGCTATTTTTGAATAATAATAGTGACTTAATGGTCATTTAGATACAACTAGAGGTTTATTTATGGAATAGAAGGTGTTTGTTATTAAATGATGAACTCAATAATCAATTAAAGCGTCTACATATCTGAAAATATTGAAAACTAATCTGCCCTATTTTGGTGTGTGGTTTGACAAGTCATTTGCAATATAATTATGTGGATGTTTTTTTATATAATAAAAAAAATATAATAACATATAATATAAAATAGGTATGAACCTGAAAAAGAATGCATTTCAAGCAACTTTTTTAAATACAAATAAGATATAATTTTCAACAGGATTAAACAGACGTTACACTATTCCAGAAAAAAGATAAACAAGCAGGACTATGATCCCAGTACTTTTCACATGAAAACATGCAAATAAAATCTATATAAACCTGAGAAAGTTAAATTAAGCCAGCAGCTGTCAGTCAGCGGAGCTTCTTTAAATTACAGCCTCTAAGCAACGATTATAAAGTCTTTGTTTCCGCACATAATGAGCAAATCACACCAAACGTTTAGACTTTGGTTTGCTGCAGAAATGTTGTCATTGAATCAGTAGCTCTGTGCCATCCTCTCAAGGCAGACCAGATTTACACTTTGCTGTCACATGTGCTCACACACGGAAACCATAGTGATTAATTATAAACTTTGAGTAACAAATCTGTTTAACGAGCCACCATACCTTGAACGATCTCCTCAGAGTCATCAGTGAAGAACTCGCTGAGTGGGGGTCTCTTAGGCCTCTTCAGGGTGTTTAGCAGCTGCTGGATCTTTGTGGAAACTCTGCTGCTCACAGGAACTCCTAAAAGATGGTGAAGATGGAAACACGACATAGGGATAATTTAGTCATGTTTTAAAGTAATAACCATGGAATACAGGACAAAGGTCTTAAAATCTTAAATTCTGCTGTTCTTCATTCATTTCAAGCTTTTAGTGTTTGATCTTTCACTCATTAAAAACTAAGATTTTAGGGTAATGAAAAGCAGCAGCTCTAGGTGGGTGTCATCAATACCGGGAAAGCACAAAGAGATCTGGGAGAAAGGTCGGGGGCCACATATGAGGATTCCTGTTTTTGTGCGGATACTTTTGTTGGATTACCTTCTATGATCATCCAGTACAAACGACAGGGATAGTGAGGGTTCACCAGGAAACAAATGGGGAAAAAAAGGCTGTGGATTTTATACATGAAAATTTTCCTTACTCTGAATATTACCTCTCGCTGTTAGCCACCAAAACAAAAAGACAGGGTAGAAAAGATCAGAAAGAAAAGCATTAAATCGTATGTTTTTCATGTAAAAGCTAAAAAAAGTTAACAGTTTTCTGATGAAAGACAAATATTAAAGCAAAAAACTCTGAGAAATTATGACGTTATACTAAAAGGTTGTTACCGTCAGCAGTCTCCATCATGCTGGAGCGGCTATGTCCCCGGTTTATTCCTCGCACGGTGTTGGACGGCAGATCAACACGCGGGCCTCTGGACAGGGGGGCCACAGCTGTCACATCTGGAGGAGGGGCACGGTTTTCAGAGGAAGCTGAAAAGAAATCAACGTGCATACAATCTTTTTAGTTTTCCCTAGAATGGAGCACAAACTATTTAGACTAGCATGACTAGAATACATCGTCCAATCCTATAGGTGCCCTCGTACCAGATTGGAGTTATTTTGTTGTGTAAAAGTTGGGACTCACTTTTTTCTTAAGCTTGTTATAAAATAACACCAGATTCATCACCTCACATGTAGCAGTGCTCTTAAATGCCTCATGTTTGTTACAATGCTTTACAATTGCGAGTAATAAAGAAAAAAGTGTCAGTCACAACTTCCCTACTGTTGTCTAATACGTATTGATCAGTGAGTCCATCATCAGCCCAATGTTTCCTTTTTATGGGTTTTATTTGGATTTATAAGAAAGCTCAATGCAAAGCTGGGAATTACTGCGAATGGGGGGGGGATTATTTGTTGTTTTCTAGCTTTTCATGAATAAAATTTGTGGTGTACCCCACATTCAAATATACTGGGTTAGGGACAAAAATGCCTATAAAACCAATTTGATTAAATCTTTCTATAGAGTCAAGACTTTTTTGTAGGTTCATGTATGCCTGCTTTGCATTAATTATAAGCATATAGTTTATAGTTTATTTAGCTTCTGTAAACATAAAATTGTTTACTTTCAACTCAACGACATTTTTAAAAAGCTGCATTTGACTATCATACAAGTTGTAGTTTCCTCATGGAATATTTTAGAACTTGTTAAATGTCTATCACTTTACACAACCAGCAGTTTTTATCACTGTTCTTAGGATTATTCTTATTGATGATGTGTGAGTCTGTTACACCCTAATATTACCTGCCCCTAGCGTCTCAGAACAAATGTTTTCCCAAGTAGTTTATCTACCCTAATTAGGACAGTTTCTCTGTCCGGCTAAATACAGTTATAATCATCATTATGCACGTGGCATAGATTTGGGAATGGAATGAGAGCAGAGTGCTTGATCTAAGAACAAAGTGTAAATTTTTGGTAAGGCTGGAGCCATGGATGTCTCCTCATTTAGTGATTTGATGATGTAATGATGTGGCATACTGGAGTTGTATAAAATGCTTCTCAGCCCCGATGTGAGCAGGGTTAGTAAGCGCTGCCTTCTATAACTCTAAAAAACTTCTCTGTCTAAGATTACAATATATGTCAAAATCTGTTCTCCTGTCTCATGGTTATTTAATACATACCGGTATATATTATGAAGTGTTATTTAAAGAGTTCAAGAGTTTATACAATATCAATATTAACATATGTTGTTTTCTTTCCAGTTGGCAAGTATGTGCAATTTGTTTATGATCCATTGTAATATGTATATATGTTGTGTCTGAATATTCCAATAGGATTATATTATGTCTAAAATGTAAGATTTCTAATTTCTTCCAGATCAGGACCCTCCCCCTAGCAAATGCAGGAATCTTTCGTATAGCATACTATACAGCTCATGATAAACAAGTTGGGTTTGGGATAAAAAAAAATGGAAATTGGAAATTGCTGCTGCAATCTCTTATTAGTTTAATAAACCATTTCACTTGCTATGGTCCCAGGATTTATACATGTTTTTGACTGAGGCATGCACATCTGATGTCCTCAGTGAACTCAGGTAGCTTGGGTGTACGCTGAGACACATCAAATATTAGAGGCAAACCATTGGCTTTAATATGTCATTAATTTAATTATTATAGTATTATTGTTAGGAACCTTTGTTTAACAAGAAAATGTGGTTTGTCTTAAATGCAAATAAATGTCCTACAACTCCACAGCAGTTTCAGAATAACAAATCATTAACTTTAGTAGTGGAGAAATACTTTGATAAAACTATAGATGCAGTGATGTTGCTGTAATCTTCTGGATACTCACTAAATTTAATAAGTGAAAGCGACTGATTGATTACTATAAAGTGAAGAAGTCCCATCACAGCCTTTATAGAGTCCATACCAACTTGTAGAAGCAACACAGCACTTTATTTAAAGGGATGTTTCTATAAACTCTTTCGTCCTTACCAATGCGACTGTGAGCCAACATGTCCGTCACGGCTGCAGTGCGGCTCTGCTCCTGAGGCTGACGGTGGGAGGGTTGCTGAGGTTGCTGGAAGGGTTGATGGTGAGGTTGATACAATGGCTGGTACTGCGGCTTGTACTGAGGCTGAGGCTGACTCTGAGGCTGACTCTGAGGTTGAGGTTTGGCCTCCCCATGTGAGAGTGTGGAGGAGGCTGAGGATGAGGTGGAGGAGCCCTGGGCAGAGCGGTTCATCCAATAGTCCTGGCTCTGCGGGTTGGGATGGACTTGAGGCTGTGGGGCGACTGCTGAAGACTGTCTGCGCGCAGATGTCTCATCTTCAGATCCTGAGGAGGAGTCTAAGTGAAAAAAAGCATTAATATTCAGTTTAATACCCTGATGTTGGAGTTGACAGCTTCAGTGATAGAGACAGAAGAACTTTCTCCATTTGGGTCTTACCTGGAGGTGTTCGGGTTTCAATGGGGGACTGCACATAAGTGGAGCGCCGCTTGGTTGGCATCGGAAGGGCCATTTTTTCCTCTTTGTTTTTAGCCAGAGCAGCTTGGACAGCCTCAGTGTGGATATCTGAGTAGCATTAAAATAATAACACAAATTCTGTCCTATACAGTCTTTCTCTGAGGCAAAAACAACAAACCATCAAGTCAACAGAAATAAATAAAAAAATGCCTTTAAATGAAACATATTTGCTTTTCATTTCAAAATTAAAAGAATCTATTCCAAATTTGCCTTATTTAATAGAGGAATATGGTTATTTTTCAGGGTATAAAATAAATAAACCTAAATCTTTGTTGGGGCTGCTCAGTGCAGCAAGAAGGTTCTTGGTTCAATTCCTGGTACGGGGTCTTTCTGCATGGAGATTGCATGTTCTCCCTGAGCATGCGTGGGTTCTCTCCGGGTACTCTGGCTTCCTCCCACACTCCAAAAACATGACTGTTAGGTTAATTGGCTTCTCTAAATTCTCCTTAGATAAAGTATGTCAGACAATGGATGGATGGATGGATAGATAAATCTTTGTTGTTACTATTGGATGGAAAAGAAATGCCCCGAGAAATAAGTTAATAATTTAAGGCTTTTAGAGAATTTAAATATTTAGGAATTCAAATGTTTTCGAATCTAGATATGATATTAAACAAGAACTATGAATGTTTAACAAAAGAAATCACTGAAAATATCAACAAATGGATGTCCCTTCCCTCATCATTGATTGGTAGGATCAAAACCTACAAAATGAATATACTTCCAAAAGTATTGTATACTTTTCAAAATGTCCCCCTGCTGCCTCCTTCAAACTGGTTTGATAATTCTAGGGAATTAATTGAAGGATTTTTATGGCAAAATAAACGGCCCAGGATTAGAATGTCGCTCTTGCATTTACTTCACAAAATGGTAGGACTAGGTTGTCCGAATATGAGGAGATATTACTGGGCAGCTCAACATAGGACTATTAGATATTACTTTAATACCAGAGATGGATGGATGGATGGATGGATGGATGGATGGATGGATGGATGGATGGATGGATGGATGGATGGATGGATGGTTTCTCTATAGTAACATTTTAGACCTTAATTGTGATATTTAGAAACAGGAACGTTAAAAAAACTGTTTTCTTGATGAAGTATGTAGCCATGAGGAGAGAATAAAGCAGTTTATTAGCCCACTCGCAAGCCTACACAGACAAAATGCACACAGCAATAAACACAGAGATTCTTTTCCCTCCATGACACCCACAGGCGCATTAAAAGATACCACGTGACTAGGAGCACGCTCAGACCATGCAACACAACATGTGCAAGAGAATTATACACTGAAAGAAAACACATTTATTACTCCACTGAAATTGTTTGAACACCCAGAGATGAAAATAAATCAAGTTCAGCCCACTGCACAGCACCAACGAGACTATAATTACGTAAATGGCACTGTGATGAACAGATTACTTGGGGCTAAATTATCCATCCTCATAATGGGCAAGTGTTTTCCCCTCATACTGGAGCGTCAGGAGAGGTTGACTCCTCAAACATGTCCTGAAGGATGTCTGTCTTTGACAAAGATAGTGTGATAATTAGAATGTCATAATATGTTAATCTGGATTTTTGGTTCTGTTCAATTCCTCACTTTGGGTTTCTTTGATTGATACATTAGTTTAATTTACATTTAGTGTCACTTAAATTCTTTTGTAGTTATATTTAACCTGTTGTTTTTCTTGGTTACTCTCTGTTGCCCCCCAGTTCCATTCTCCTTTCCCCACATTTCAAAGATTCTTAGTGTTAAAGCAGTTGTGCACAACAGATATCAAGGTTGTTTCTGATCAAGACTAAGTTAGTAAAGTCCGTCTCTCTCTCTCTCTCTCTCTCTCTCTCTCTCTCTGTCTCTCTCTCTCTCTCTCTCTCTCTCTATATATATATATATATATATATATATATATATATATATATATTTATATTTGGTCAATAACTAAAGTTTACCTCAATACTCTGTAACATACCCTTTGTTGGCAATGACAGGTTCCTGTAAGTCTTCCACCAGGTTTGCACACAAACATGTCCTGAAGGATGTCTGTCTTTGACAAAGACAGTGTGATAATTAGAATGTCATGATATGTTAATCTGGATTTTTGGTTCTGTTTATTTTCCACCATAATTTACAAATAAATCCTTTATAAATCCTACAATGTGATTTCCTGGATTTTTTCTCTCATTTCTTTTCTCATAGTTCTAAGTAGGAGACTTGCACAATCAATGGCTGGCTAAATACTTACATATATATATATATATATATATATATATATATATATATATATATATATATATATATATATATATATATATATATATGTATTTTGTGCATTTCTTTTACATCAGTAACGGGTTACTGATGTAAAAGAAATGCACACTAAGCAGAAGCGAGCTGGCTGTCTCAGCAGCTCATTCTGCATGTTGTTTCCCTCTGGTGACTGTGAATAGATCTACTGCTGCTGACACTTAAGTCTATTCAATGTGTTGTTTTTTTGTGTGTTTTTCATTTTCTCTTTTGCAGCTCTCCTTACTAGTCATTTGGAAGCTGGTTTTGCATTTAGCTTGATCTAGTTGTGGCTCAATAGAATACTTAATTAAATAATAAATAAATACAGCTGTTGCGCCATTCAAATATAACACTGATAAAAAAAAGAGGGTCAAATGTAGCAGTAAATATGTGTGGGTATGAAGGAAATGAAAACATTGATATCTTCTCATTGGGAAAGCAGTGGAGTCTGCCTTTTTATTGTTATCGTTTGAGTCGGCAGGCGTATTGTTTTCACCTATGAGGCTAGTGTGCAAACGGTTGTCCCTTGAGTGAGACACTGTGGAGCAGCCGTTACAAAAATAGCTTGTGGAGGGCTTGCATTTATGGATGCAGGGGGAAAAAATGGGTTTAAAACTTGTTGAAAAGTTAGCAAACTGAAATGGATGCCTCCACTGTCCAATTGTTAACATGAAGGGGTATTTCAGCCAGTTATACCCTGGATTGGGACAGAGAAAGGAAAAACAACCATACATGTACACAATTTTAACAAAGTGCCTTTCAGAGACAGGTTAACCTAACAGCCAAGTTTTTGGACTGTGGGAGGAGGCCAGAGTACCAGGAGAGAACCCATGCATGCCGGGTAAGGAGATGTAAACTTTATGTTGAAAGATCCCAAACAGGAACTAGAACTGGATCAGTACGAGGTCCCACAATACAAAAACATTAATTTTTTTTTCTTTCAGTTTTAATACATTAAATTACTTTATATATTATGACTGTTTTGGTAAAAAAATAAAATTCAATAATAATTTAGTCAATGCACAAGAGGAACACATTTTTCTTTTTTTTCTTCTTTTTTTAAGTAATCTTTCATCTTGATTTAAATGCTCCCTCTCCCCATAATCAGGTTTTCCAATAAAAATCAGTAATGGTAAAGTATCCACACACACCCAGCCAGAATGCTATCAGAGTGGGGGTCCTCACAAAGGGGGGCCTCCAGACCCAGCTGCAGCCCTGCATCGCTGCCCCTCTAATAATAATAACAACATTTAGATAAAAAAAAAAAAACTTTCTAACAAACTCCTTTTTAATTGGTCCCTTTGAGAGATACAAAGAGTGGGATTTATAAAACAAGGTCACTTCTCAATTCCAGCTCATCCAGGGTAATCAAAAATGGTTCAAGTTTGTATCGATGTCTCGATAAAAAAAAAAAAATTAAATATCAACCTATTTTGATACGGCCCTGTTCCCCTGACCTGATCTGTAGCGATCATCCCTGGTTCCTCCATTACGGTGCGTCCTGCGAGAGCGGCGTTCTCGGTAGCGGGAGGAGTTTGCAGGAGCAGGCGCTTGGCTGGACGAACTGGGAACAGGAGGCTGTGCGTCATTCTGAGGAGGTGCCACTGTCAGACAGACAACAAAAAATATTTTTGTGCAACAAGCATCTAATCACATAATTAATGAGGATGTTGGTGGACATCCATGTGGGCAACTTATATGTTTCAATAATAGTTGATTTGAGGGAGAAGGCCTGCTATCACCCTTAAAAATACAGATTTTATTTTTACCGTAATATACTATGTCTAAGAGCAATAAGGTGACCCTAACAATAAAACTCTTCAGTGCAGCAGGTCATCATAGAGAGGTAGGACTGATGAAAGGTAATGTCTTCGATAGCAGTGTGGTATTTAAAAATGGAATGATTGGAAGATGTTTAAACTGTATTTTCCATAACTTGTTTGGGCATGTCTGCGTTATAATTAGGGTGCAGCAAGCAGAAGGCATGGGCAACATTTAACTTTCCAACAGGAGAAATGAAAGAAGAAAAGCAATGTTTCTTTTTTAACCTTAAACCCCTGCATCAGTCACAGAACACACCGAAATGGAAATTTTGGTCAAAGTTAGGGTAAAAAAAAAAAAAAAAACACATTCATGAGAATTTCCACAAGCTGTATTGGGGATCCCGGGTGAGCTTTGCAAATACACTGTATGCTGAAAAAAAAATGTGTCTTTTTTTTAACAATAAAACTCAGAATTACACCAACTGCTCCTAATTATGGTTTGATTACCCAATAGTCCCACGTGTTGTTGCACACTGCTGGTCAGCTGGCTGAAAGAAGGCTGCTAGACCAGTCCAGTTGACAATAATGATAAATAAACTTAAGGATCTCCAAACATCCTTCTTTATAAGGCAAGGATTCTTATAAGCAAATTACTATTTTACAATTTGATTAGAATATTGAATTTCTAACTCTTTAGAATTTGTTTGTATCCGTGTATCATGCCGTTCACCACTTAGTGTATAATTTTCTTTCAACAAATTTTCCAGGAATTGTATCTAAATGAGTGTGTTTGTATGATATCAGGAAAACATATCAACAGATGCAAGTTGAACATAGAATTCAAGCCAACTAAAATGAGAGGTTTAAAGCCTAATGCCTTGGAAGGAATCTTAAAAATAAGAAAATAAGGTAAGAACTCCAGACATTCTGTAGGAGTTTAGAGTAAAGTTTGTTTTTGCTTTTGTAAATTAAGTGGTGATCTGTATTTACCTGAAGTCTGGATTATATAGGGAGCCAAAAGTTTGGTCCTCTTCTTCTCATAGCCCTTCTGAGTGATGTCACCTGTAAAAAAAAAAAAAGGGTATGCTTAAGATTTTTTAAACATTCCCCTTTAATAAATGCATGAATAATTGTTGGGCTACTACTTATGCCTTTCAAAAGAGGCAAATAGGCAATAGGGAAAAACACATGAGTTGGAGACCAGTAAAGAGGAGGGTGAGAACAGATGGGTGAAAACGGTGTTGCAGTGATCTCTAGAGATGTCTGCAGGCGTCAAACATGTGCCTCTGTTGCAGCTTAAATGGAGGGGAAAAACAAAACAGGACTAAATGTGGACGGATATGGAAGCGTGGGCTGGAGACTGCGTTATTCAGAGACTTAAAATGAAAACATCCGAAGTCATGCAGGTGGGAGATGAGGTGGAAATGATGAAAACAGGAAAATATGGCAATCAGAAGAAAATGGACAAATCCTAACTTCTATACCAACAGTAACTAAAAACAAGCAAGCAAACCTCCTCCCCCAACAAAACAGCTGATTTGCATCCTCCTCCATCCCACCAGACCAAACACAGGCTCACAGAGCTTTAAAGGCCAAGCAGTTTCTCTTCCAATCTTCAATATGGGTAAGGTTTTTAGATTTCTATAAATCCATCTGTGCATGCTCTATTCATCACTCACACTTTTAACATGTCTGTTATCAGCAGGGCTTTCCCATTACCTATTTCCTTACAATTTTTTTAGGAAATGTTTTTTTAAAGAAAATCTCTTTCTGTTATGGTGTGGATACCAGCAAAGAGATATACCTGATTATTTATTATTAGGTGAAAGATTAGAATAACCTGAATATCTGCTAAAGTGGATCGATTATACTACTTAAAATGCAGATGCTTGAATTGTTTACTCAAAGCTCTTGCAGAGACACATCGGTTTTATGTTCCTTATTTGCATTTAGAGGCACCGGTCAGGACTTCAAGACGACAGGCACTTTGCAAGACAAGAGGAATCTGTTCTCTTCCCCAACAAAGAACAAAATTCCTTTATTCTGTTATTGGAACCCTGGTTTGGGAGTTTTTTCAATTTGTTCTCGACACTTATTCTGGGCAAAAACTATTTCTTATGTGATTTAATATAACCATTGTATGAAATTCAGTTACCTCTGCTAACACTTGCTGCAGTGGGCAGGGCCTAGGAGAATTTCCCAGGTGTTCGGCACTGACTTAATGTGAAATATGTTCTATCTTTATATATTGTTCTAGGTCTTAAATCTACTATGTTCTTCTCGACAAACTCTTACAACCCCCAGATGAAAGACCTCTCATCTAGATTTTGAAAAATACTAGAATTTCTTCTTAGGATTGGATATCAAATGAGGATTTATTCAAATATTCCAAATACCTGCTGTAACATAGTTTGAGACTTAAAATAATGAGACTTAAAATGGTTAATTTAATGTCAACCCAAGTAGCCATGCTTTGACAGAATGCTCAAGCATTATATATGCATCAAAATAGAGATAAATAAATATTGTAAATAATGACTAGTCAGCCAACATTGAAGGGAACGTCAATGTTGGCTGACTTGTCATTATTTCTCAGTGGTCTCAAAGCTCAAAAAAATAATGTGGACAGAAACAAGTATATAAATAGATAAAAAGGCTATGATATTGTCATAAAATTTTTAATTTGAATTTAACTAACTATGAGTTTTCTGACCAAGATCTTCTCTTTTGATGAGCTTTTGGAAAGAACATTAGCCAATCAAGAGTTTGTCAACTGTGTCCGAATTCTTGTATCCTCAAACTGAACATAAGTGTGCATTCTGATAAACTATCCTATCAGCAAACTGTGATTTAGAATAGAAAATCCCATTATTGTCCCACAATGGGGACACTCTGGTGTTTGCAGCAGCAAAATGATTATAAAACTGTGCACCTGGAGAATAAATAACCAATATACACCTATGGACATTTTTACAGTAATGGATAGTGGAAAATAGCAACATCAGGGATGTGCAAAATGACAGCAGCATGTTATTTAAAGGCACACTATGCAACATTTTTCAGTTAATTAATGTGTTCCATAACGTTTTGGATAATTAAGTGAGTCATTTCAGGTTGAACAAAGGTATTCTCGGCTGCCCTGGTGATCTGTGGGGGAAATACCGCACTTGCAATTGCAGGAGCCCTCGGCCCGCACCCACAGGCTCAGAAGTCTCGCGAGAGTCGGTCTTGCTTTACGGCGAGAACTGCTACACGCCCCCAGTTAAAAGCATGCTCGTTGCTAGCACAGTGGCGATCTTTGTGCAGTTATCATGGCGGAACCAGCGTGAAAACAGCGAAAGCCCATGTCGGAGCAGGCAAGAAAGAGGACAAGGGCTCCAGACAGAGAGAGGAGTTGTACATGGGTGAACATCGGGCAAGCTTTTTCCGAATGGCGAGAGCTAAAATAAAAAGAAGGCTGCAGGGCTGACGCGGACCTTGCGTTTCTGCTGATGCGATTGTAAGTAACATTGGAATGGTTTCTCTCTCTCTGTGTGCATATTCATACTTTCACTGTGTTAGTCATTCGTTGCGTTCGCCTGTCTGCTAAGCTCAAAACAACCGCGCCTGGCTTGACGGAGAAACCAGGAGAACAGCTGTGCATATTTACGACAGTGCACTTTTACTTTCGCCCACTGGGGGGAGCCTTGCTGGAAAATCAACACCGGTTGCATAGTATACCTTTAACTATGATAGAAACTTTGCAAAATCAGCATGAATGTAACAACCTATTGAGGTTGTTGGGAGAAGTGGTGGTAATAAACTCTTACAGCTACTAGAAGGAAGGATCTGTGATAACGCTCCCTGGTGCATTTAAGGTGCAGCAGTCTGTCACTGAAGGAGCTCTCCAGTTCTGCAACAGCTTCATGAATGGGGTGGGAAATATTATGCAATGGAGATGTTATGTGATCTGCAGTCAGTGGGTGTTTTCTTCTCCCATCAGATGCATTCTCTCTGGCCTAAAGATGATTACTGGAGAACACAGAGGGAGTTCTTCAGTAATAATCGTCTGCTGATCATCTTCTATCATGATGGTTATAGACATTAAAGAACACTGAAAACGCTATCTGGTAAATACAGATTTCTCACTGATAATCAGTTTATCTTTTTTTGACATGACTATACAAGAAGGAGCATGTTTCATGAGATCCAACAACCCTGCTGCCAGTTTAGATTCCCCAGGGGATTCATTTTGCAACCCTGCACAGAATCAACCCCAGTGCTACAGAGGGAGACCTGCAGGAGCAGTGTATTGCAGGCTCCGGTTCAAGTTCACACTATTCTAGGGATGCTTGGAACTTCAGCTAAAGCTGGCTGACTGGCTGGGTAATTTGCTGCACTCCTGATTTTCCAATAAATGCCAACCTAAACTCCATCCTTTAATATCTGATTAGTTCTACCAGAGAAATGAGTGCAACATAAGATTACTTCTTGTCTCAACCTCTCACACCTGTATTTCTCAATTATTTTGTTGGCCTTATCAAACACTGTTGCCATAGTTATTCAGAAGCATAATCAGAGCCTTTTTAAAATATCTTTCATATTTATTCATAAAATTAGGGACAGAGCGATCTAAGTGGTCCTTGCAGATATACTGAATTGTCCTACTGATTATGATTAATAAAAGAAAGGCGTGATAACATGAATGCACGGTTTGATATAGCTGACTTTTCTGTAGGGCACAGGTTTTATCATATGTTGCTACTGTAAACCTTTAGTATGAAGGTTGCATACTTTTTTATGCATGAAACCCCTGGAGACTTTTTGATGGATTGTTAAAAGATTAACTCAAATTGATTTTGTAGTTTTGGTTCAAACTGGGTATATCTTGTGACTTAAACTGATGTTTAATTTAATTCTATGTATTTTTTGTGTTTAAAAAAAACATTCTTAGTTAAAATTGAAGCAAATCTTAATTTTCTCTGCCAAGGCTTATCTTCAAAAACGTTCAGAAGGTTCAGAGCAGTGCAAAAATAAATAGATATGGTGCAAAATGCTGAGTTGAATTCTATATAAAGGAGTTTGAAAATTCCCTTTAAATTGCCAATTTAGATGTTTTTGTGTTGTAAAGAAACATCAGCACAGAAAGTGTGCAGCAAGTTTACCATAAAATCGCCACTAGCCAAGTGGTTAACTTAGTAAAGTTGAGATAGTTGTATTTAAGTATTAGGGAATGAGACAAAGTAGAGCCTGTGGTCTTATTTTATCACCAAGTTTACTGGAGTTGTTAAGGTCAGATGGTTGTTTTGGAAAGCTTATTATTATTTACAAGATCTTTTCATCAATCTGATTGGTTTATCTTAACAGGTAAGTTGTCCATGCTTTACCGTTTGGCAAATCTTAGCAGAAATACACACGCTGCAGAAACATCCACAAACATGCAGGGAACACTGAGACTGCTCATGTTTTTAAGGACATCGCCTGAGAGCTCGCTGCAAAGTAAAACCAACTCAAGGAATGGGGGAGCTTTTTGTCTGAGGAAAAAATAAAGAAGAAAGGCAAACACTTCCATAAGTAATGCATGAACAGTGCAGTTGGCTGTGCTCAGTCACATGATTTATTTTTAGCTTATGTGAACAGGCAATTTTTCTTCAGAAACCCAGAGAGAGAGGAAGGGACGGAGTCAGGGATGGGGGAGGGGTAGGCATGCATGAAACCCAAAGTAATCACTCCTCCATCTGTATGATTTAGAATTTATTTGTTCTCCAGCAGTCAGAATAGAGAGTTAAAGTATTGCTATAGCTGGATATGTTGTTAGGGTAGGAAATAAAATAAAAGAAACTGGTGGATGATAACAGTTCAATTACTGATTTTAATATGGTAGCAAAAGGTTCAATACCAAATTAAATATAAACTAGAACTTCTATACTTCTATTTTAGAGACGACCGGAGATTAAAACCTTATCAGGAGGCAAAGCACAGCTAAGGGGGTGAAGAGGGCCTCACTTGTTAGCGCTTTCCCACAGTGCCCCAGTCATGTCTGTTCCATGGATGGACGTCACATTTAAAAGATTTCAGAGTCG